CGCAGCTTCCAATTGACGGTCTGAAACACGTTGCATCATGCTTTCCTGCCCCTCGAGGGCCCCTTTAACACCTTCGATCATGCGACGGACTCCACCGAATTCATCATCAAAGTGCTTCTTGACCTCATCCAGGATATCAACATTGAGCACCAACACAGACCGATCCTTGACATCGCTCAGATCCTCCAGCTCGTGCCGGACCCCTGAAACTGGGTCCTGAATATAGATTTCCGGCAAGTCAACCCCGTTGTTGTGGGTGTTCCAAGCGAATTTCTCAATGAAAGCCAGCTGAAGTCTCCCGATAGTAAGGCCAGTATATCCTTCTGGGAGAACGTATTTCTTGATCTTGCTTCTGTATTGAAGGAATAGAGTGAGCTCCTTGCCTGGGGATTGTTGTTCAGGGGAGTATTGGGATGCTTGAGGTGGGGTAGAAGCAGACACAGCTGGCTGCTGGCCTTCAGACTTGGGCGTTCCTGGGCGGGCAGCCGCGGTAGGGGCAGCATCCTTTACGGGTTCAAATGCCTCTGCAAGGGACGGCTCTTCAGAAGGACGAGGGAGATCGGGCTGCCGTCCAATCGCCGGTTGATCAGCCGGACCACTTCCAGGGCGTTCAACAGACTTGTCTTTGGCGGCAGTAGCACCCTCCGCTGGAAGTTCTGCAGGTGACCCAACGCGAGATTTTGGGCGCTCCTCTTCAATACTGGGAACGCTCGAAGGCGCCTGTGGAGCAACCTTTGCGTCATGCAGCCGATTTGTCGATCGCTGTCGTCCATGAACTGACCCGCGTAGACGCACAGCATTTAGCGACTCACGGACATCACGCCCCCGGTTCGGTATCGGAGAATTCTGGGTCGGGAGGACTGGAACACCGCTTGAAGAAGTTCCCAGATGCTTTTGTATCTGATAGGCAGAAAACCTTCGAGAGGCCCGACGTTCCAGCTCCCCGCTTCTCTGCAGAGCCCCAAGAGCATCATCTTGTTTCGGGGCTGGCGGAGGGGGCGGTGTGGGATAAGGTGGCGCGTTGGTCGAAGTCACGGAGCCCTTGGGAGTTGCCCCAGAGTCTGGTTGAGATCCTTGAGATAAGATGTTTTGTGCCTCGCGCCTCGACGCATCTCGTTCTGAAAAGCTCGCCCCTCGCGCATCAGCCGATGCCGCTGAAGACGCCCGGGCCATGGATGGGTCCTCCATAGAGCCATTACTGCCAAATCGCCGAGTCGATCGCTTCGGAGACGTCACCGTGGAGGCAGTGTCCTCATATGCTTGATTCAATGCCGCCTGCGCCGAAGTTGCACCACTTGCACTTGTGTGCCGACCGGGCAATGGCCTACTTTCCTCCTTCTGTTGTCGCGCACGTAGTCGAGCCTGCTTCTTCTTGAGGCCATGTAGAAGGTTGATGATGATGTCGCGAACTCGAGGGAGGTAGCGCTCGAGACTCTGTGGAGACGCATCTTGGCTGAGAGTATCTTCGAGGATCGTACGCAAAAGGTCGGGTACGGGGCCAAGATCTGAGGTGTCAACTCCGATGGCATTGAAGGCGCGACAAGCCAGGTTGAACTCATAGCCCAGCCGTACGTAGACGTCTGACACTTCATTCTCTGATGCTTGTCGGCGGGACCACTGTGTCAGAGTCTCTAGCAGCTGTTTCGTGGCGACCAAAAGATGGGTGACACTCTTTTCGATTTGGTTGATCTGTTTCTCGGGCTGTGGATCAGACGCACCACGAGGTCAGCCGGAGTATTTGTGGGACGGCTGGGGGGTGATTTGGGAGTGACCCAAGCAGTGGCTGCATGCCACCCATAATGGAGAGAAGCACTTACTACCACGCTCTTTGAGGACTGAGACCTCGTCGAGCTCGACGAACTGCGCGGTGCAGATGTCATGGCGGATTCCACACTGCTCCCTGAACCGGATGGGAAATGCTGGGCTGACGGACTTCGCTGGGAGCGGGAGGAAACGCTGGAGGCGGACTGCATATGTGCAAGGCGGGAATCCGGGACAATTATTCTTTTCAGTAGCAGTTGATAAGTTGTAACACGAGTATATTAGGAGCAACAAAAGGATGCAGTGTGCAAGGTCGCGAAAAGGGCTGGGGATTGAATATTGTCTCAGAAGAATGTGTAAGGGAGAAAGAGAGAGAGGGAGAGAGGGAGGGAGGGAGGAGCAATGACGGCGGGATGGATCGAAATAGCCACAAATGATGAAGAGAAACGAGGGAGATCAAGCAGGAGAAAGAAAGAGGCGGCGGAGAAGAATATGCAACAAAGAAAGCAGGAAGGTAATAATGATAAGAGAAATAAAAGTCCGCACGAGAAAGGCAGCGAGAGACAAGCGGGAATTATAGCCAAGGAACCAGCCTCTTCGAGGGGGTGGGAAGGTAGTGGTGGTAGTAGTAGTTTTGGGTGGTGGTGATGCTGTTGGACTGGCACTAAAGCAGTCTAAGGGATCTGATAGAAGACCGATTTGGGCACAAGTTTAGTCTCCCGGCCAGCAGAGCAATGAAATGCCCAGCAGAAAGACTCAACTGCAACTCAATCATCGCTGCCTTCCGAGACCTGTGCCAGCCTGAGGCATCGAGAAGACAACGCCCGCCAGGTCACATGCTTCCACCAGCCTCCGGGATTTTTAGTTTCGCCGGATCCACCTCAGCCGCGCCTCAATTCAACTCTCTCTTATGCCATACAAACAGTGTATCATCCTTCAGTTCCTCTGTAGATCTACTGATTTGAAATGTCTTGAGTTCAAAGTTCCCCAGCGGTGAATGCAAGTATTGCTCACGACGATGCTGAATCTGCTCTCAACTATTGATACACATCCGACGAGATTCTCTTCAGCTTTCTCGATCTTCTCATCCCTTGGTGTGGACACCTCTATGATGACACCGATCCCTCGGCCGTCCATGTCAGACTGCAGAACCACTTGGGGTTAGAGTTTCAACGCCGGAGGGTCCCTTCCTATCAAACTTCCGGAATACCTTTCCTGTGTGACACTGCGTAAGGTTCTGTACACAGTAGTCCTAACGAGGTCTCGCGCACTTTGGTCGGTTCGGTAGTGATGGCAGTACCTCTCTCGATCGATTGTTTCAACCTGCAACCAAAGGGGTTCCATGAAGTCTCCTCTCTTGGCTGTTGACGGAGCCACTCTTACGTAACGACACTTTCTATTGATTGATTATCGCTGGTTCAACACCAACAACAATATAACAGGCCCGATTCATCGACACAAGGCATGAGATTGCTGGACGCCTGGGCAGGCGCTCAATGAAATAGACTAGCCTAACAATGCTTAGCATGGCCCGGTCAATTGCCCCGGCGCTTGCCTTAGTTCTTACTGTATTTGCTTAGTCTCTTAGTAATGTGATATCTATAGCATCATGTGGGTAGTGCGCTGAAGCGTCAATGAGATTGTCCTTCAGGCAGGATCTTAGCGCAAGCCGGTTCGTTGATTTGCTTTGCCAGTGTTTCCCCAACAATACACAGCAAGCATGATGCAAGTATAGTTTCGGTCGATCACTGAGCTAGCTGTCTTATCTCCTTGGCCCGAAGGTCTATTTTTTTATTATCATGTTGACAGCCGCAGTAACCAACACAGATGTCTGGGGAAATACAAGTGGCACGGCGCTGCTTCTCAATTTCAAGGAAAGCACGTCTGGAGGAGTAGTATCCCTGTGAAGGACTCTATAGATCGGTTCCCTAGCCTAGTTAATCGGGAGGTGAATGGCTCCCCACATAGCGAGTGCCCAATTTTGGTGATTGCTGGGTGTGTTGGCAGGACAGCAGCCCTTGCTGGAGCGAATTTGAGCTCCGTTGCATTTACCGATCGCACCCGGATGCCAGAAGTACCGTATGGACTATTCAGACGCGGTGACAGCAAAGGCATAGACATGGACCAAAGAGCTCTGCGTGAGCATGGGCTCTGGAAGTGAGCTTCCATGCAGCAAGGGATCATTCCAGACCTAGGATCAGAGATACAGACGGAACTCATATGAATTCACCATGCAGCGCGATGGTGGGCCTGCTCCGAGTGGATTCTGACAGGCCGCAAGGGCAGGAGTTCATTGAGAATTTGCAACTCGACTGATGGAAGCAGAAGCAAGTGGAGTGAGGCGACATGGTGCGTCTCAGTAGCGAGGTGGGAACACACACCTACACGCACGCACACACAAGTGCAATCCTATTCATGGAGCAGGAAAGATGAGGAGGATTGAGAACAACCAATTATTGTGGTCTTTTTATTACTTTTTTTTTAATCATTTGAAACTATGCCTTACGAAAGACCGTCAGAAACCCCCCAAAATGATACTTGCTTCTCATGATTTAGTAGTACTCCACCAGACTTGAAAACAAATGTTTATCGGCCAGCATAGCAAGACATTCAGATATGGAGGTGGGAGTAGAAGTGAAACGAGGGAGAGAATGGAAGAAGAGACCTTCTCAGGTACTCCGTACATCCACATAAAAAGCAGTGCACATTCCCATGGCCATCATGTTCCCCACTCGCTTGCCAACCGCCAACCAAGCCCAGAGACCCTTGGGACATCCATGGGATTTGCCCACCTAAATTCCCCTCTGACAAGCTAAACCCTCCAGCCAGACCCAGCACTAACCGCCCACTGACCTACGCTGTACGTACATAAAACTAACCTTACTTGACCTGTGGATGATGTTAGCTGTCTGGCTGGCTTGTCTCTGGCTTGCCTCCTCTTTTTGTGGCTGCTCCTCTACCAACTAACATTGAACTTCCTCTCCCTGTGTAGTAGTTTACGTTCTTCTTTCCTCCTGCGGCCCGCAGCCTGACTTGACCGGGGCTCTCCTACAATTCTCTGCGCTTTATTGTTACTACTCTGCTTCTCGCCAGTCCTTGCTGGTGTTCGTCTTCTTGCCTCATTCTCCTTCTCCTCCTTCTCCACTTCCCGTCTTTCCTCCCGGATCCGCGTCTCCCCTCCTTCCTCCCCTTTCCCCGTTTCTTGCTCTCTCTCTCTCCCTCTCTCTCTCTCCCTTCCCGTGGACGTTCAACTCACAAGAAGGCGGTCCCGTGACTTGTTCGGGGCTCTCGCTCTCCTACCACAGCTTCTCTTTTCCCCTTCCACCCCGCCATTCTTTTCTTTCCTTCCCCCTCCCCAATCCCTTCCTCCCACTCCATCACCGTTTCTTCGGTCCTGTTTGCGCAGGCGGTGTGTTTTGGCTTCGTGCCTTCCGTCCGTACTCTTTACGGCTTTGCGTCGTGCGACGACGTAGAGCTACGCTCGGTGACGATCCAGCCAGATGGCTTCTACCGTCAACTCGGTGTCGGCTGCCAACAGTGCGTCTGGCAATGCCGTAAATCCCCAGAATCCCGGTACTAGACCTTCATTGAGATCCAGTGCTAGTACGAAGGCATCGGAGGGCGGCCGGCGTCAGTCCGGCAGTCCTCTCGAGAGCGGGCAGAGGTACGTTGCGAGGTCAACATGTAATCCCTCATTCCTCCCAGCTCGTTCAACTCGTTTGCTTCCATTGCCCTTTCCTCACCGCTTGTCGCCTCACGAAAATATGGCCGTTTACCCTGTTACCATCTCCCCTCCCTCTTAACCTTATTGAGGACAAGTCTCTTCCTGACAATGCCCTCCGTGGCTGTCTGGTCTTCTTGACGACTGGTTTCGCGTCATTGTGTCCTCGCTTCCCCATCTTCCTCTCCCAGTGTTATACAATCAATCTCGTTCCCTGTTGAAAGGGCACCATCGTCTATCTCATACTCTTTGCTGATAGGCATGGAATTGTGTTGTGCATTAACTAACCCACCTCTTTCTTCATGATAGGCGCAGTAACTCCCAAAAAGCTTGGTCCCACGGCGCAAACCCCATCACACAGCGGGCCTCCTACTCACAGCAGAACGGCAACATGTCTCACAAACAGTCCGCCTCTCCTCGACCGTCTCCTAAGGAGTCAAACACCCCCGATAACCACGCAAATGATCGTCTTGTTTTCTTGTTTGCTAGCTTCATTGTAAGCTCGGTTTTCCACATCCGGCATATATCCACGTGAAAGGCTTACGGTTTCTAGGGTTTGAATGCTACGATTACCACGAGGAATGGGGATAAATACACGGGAATTTTTTCGTCCTCGACGCTGGAGCCTAGCGACTGTTCGTTCGTACTCAAAATGGTGCAACGGCCAACCAAGGCGGATCAGAACAAAGCGAACGGGGTTAGTGATGTCTCAAGCCCGTATATGGGGTCGGCGCCGGATCATAGCATGTCCTTCGATGTCAAGGACGTGGTCGATATTTCAGTCCCGAACGTCACCCCGGCCGATGTTACAGCAAAGAGCGCGAATGGTAAGTCACCGGGCCAGCTTGAGAAAAGAAAAATTTTCTGGCCCTTCTTGAGCTAACGAAAGTATCAGGAACTCCTGTAGGTTTCAAAACGGATACCGACATTTCCGGAAATCTTGCGATTCGCGAGCGGACTCTCAAGCGCTGGGAGCCTGCCGCCGACACCGACGTCGACCTCTCTCTCGAAAGCGCACACAATTCAACTGGGTGGGATCAATTCGAAGCAAATGCCAGGCTCTTCGGTGCTACTAGCAGTTACGATGAGAACATCTACACAACTAGAATCGATCGGTCAGACCCTACCTATAAGCAGAAGGAAGCCGATGCTGCTCGAATTGCTCGTGAAATCGAAGGCGCTACTACAGATAATGCACATGTTCGTGAGGAAAGAGGACAGGTATCGGCAGATGATCATGATGAGGAAGCTAAATACAGCGGTGTTCGTCGTGATGAGAGGAGCTTCCCGCCGCTCGTTTCGGGGCAGCCGAACAAGTACACTCCGCCAGCGCGCAGGCAAAACGCCGCTCAATCTGCCATGGCCTCGGGAGCTCCTGCAAGCTCTATCAAGCAGGCTCCTAGTACCCCGAAAGAGGCTGTTGCCGCAGGACCGCCCAAGGAGAATGGGCAGGCCCAGGCTCAGCCCGCGCCGCCCAGTATAACAGCAAGCTCCACTGCCGATACGGAGCCAAAGCCTGCATTGTCCAAGACTACATCTGGTGCCCCGGCTCCTGCAAATGCTACATCGAATGTGGAGGCCGAGGTGCTCGACTCTTTCCGGCAATTCGCCCACAGTGAAAAGGCGAAGTTGCAAGAACGCCGTCGTAACCAGGCTTCATATGATCGAACCATTAAGCTGAACGAACTTATGAAGTTCTCCAAGAACTTCAAATTGGCAACGCCTGTGCCCAAGGATTTGGTTCCCATCCTAGCTAAAGACCCGCACAAACAGGAAGAGATCATTCAAAGAGCTCAGCAGCACGCTGAGGAGAAAGTCGTGACCAAGTCCCCAGCAAGTGCTGATCCGAAGCCCGCTGCTCGCCCATCTGGAAGTGCCCGCCAGGAAAGCGGAACTATGCCACCTCCTGCGCAGTCTGACCGCCCGAACTTTCCTCGGGGTCGTCAAATGCTTCCCCCAACCGGTCCGCATGCTGGACCTGGTGGGCGGCTTCCGCAGCAGCCAGTGCACCAGGGCCGTCAAGCCACTGGTATGCTCGGCCATCGTTTAGCAGACAACATACAGCAGCGGAAGGGAGCCGCGATGGGAGCTGTTCCCGCTCCCTTGCCTATCAACGAAGTTCGTATTCCCCCAACTGGCCCAGCTGGCGAGCAGCCTGCTGTTACTAGTCCGAATAAGGTGCAGACACCAACTTCGTCCGTGTCGACCAAATTCAACGTGAGGGCCCTGGAGTTTAAGCCAAACCCTGCCGCAAGTACCTTTACACCCGGTGCTTCATCCACCTCATCTCCTTTCACCCGAGGACGCTCCGTCTCACGGACCACTAGCCCCTCGTTGTTCTTTGGAGCGAAGAAGCCAAGACCGATTTCTGAGAGGCCGTCCCTTAACGATCAGTTCAACCCTATCAAGCGCATGAAGAAGGAAAATGCGGAGCAGAGTGATAAGGGCTTCGCCTTCAATGGAGGCATCCCGCCCGCTTACAGGACCCCCCCTACTTGGGATGCCGCTCCCGGAAATGAAGAGAAGACATACCTGGAAATGTTCAAGCCGCCTGCTTCTGTGCCGGCTATCTCTCCTCAAAGCCGGTCTGCGTCGAATCCCCAGATGCCTCCGCCGCAGATGCCGTTCCAGTTCCCACAGAACACTCCTGGCATGCCTCCCACTACTGGTCCACCGCACGGACCTCATCTACACCCTCAGCAGCATCACAATACCGGGCCCCCACACTTTGACGATCCCCACCGCATGCAAATGTCAGCCTCGACCTCGCAAGTGTTTCCATCGCCAAGACTACAGCACGGTTATCCATCCCCCATGGCGCCACATGCACAGCTTGCATTCGGACAAGCCATGCCACAATTTTATGTCAGCCAGGCCGCCCAACAGCCTGGACATATGAGGCATTACCCGGGCGGTCCTCAATTCGTCAACCCCCAACCAACCATGGGCGCTCCAATGATGGTTCAACAGCCGTCTAGCGGACCATACATGGGTGTCCCTCAGGGCGTGGCCCCCTATACACCTCAGATGCAGATGTATTCCCCAAACCCTAGCCACGCGTATCCCCAGCATGTGCCACCGCCCCAACCTCACAGTGGCTATCCCAGTCCCAGTCGGGGTGCTCCCATGATGATGCACCAGAACTCTCAGCCGGGTCAGCCCCCGCAACCGGTGATGTTTATGTCCCCTGGGCAGCATGGCCAACCCGTGTATCCAACGCAGCAGCCAAGCCACAGTAGGTTATAACGAAATCAGAAGACAGTTGTGGGTTAGGTCGCTAACTTGGCTAGTGCCCCCGGTCCGCGGCAATTATCCTCAGCAGCAGCCCCATTTCCAGTCCAGTCCCCACCAAGTGCACCATTACCCACCTCACCAGCATCGGACGCCTAGTAGCGGCTACAACCAATTGCCACAGATGCCTCCCCAAATGCCTGCTCAACCCCCGTCTACTGTCGCATCTGGACCTCAACCGCAAGAGGCAGCAGATGAAGTGAAATGAACCATCCCCGCTTGACAAGCGTGAGACGCCATATCGCTGGCTCAGCGACCTGACCAAACCACCGCCGTTCCTCTTTGGAAATTCAGGCTTCACTTGGACGTGAACTCCAGTTGTTCACCGTTGGCGACTCAAATCGTCTCGCGTCGACCAACAACCTCACTATGTTTACCAAAGCTATCTGTACTTTGTACGTATGCGCTGCGCTATGTGCACCGGAAGACGTACAGTGTTTCCGGTTGGCGGGTTGCGATTCCCTGCTGGTAAGCCAGACTCTTTTTTTTTTTTTTTTTTTTTTTTTTTTTTTTTTTTTTTTTATCATCTTAGCACTCTCATTGGTTTTGACAAGCTAACCAAACGCAGGCGAGGTGGCAGCTTCGTGTGAAGTATTGCAGTCAGATCAGGTGTGTATAGGAGTAAAGCCATGGGCTATAAGTTGAGAGATCTCCGAGGATTGGTGTGTCGGCAAATAGTTCGGCATCCGATGGCCTTGTTGCCATCCTATGCAGACCTATACTATACGGCTTCTTGGAAGTGATTTACAGAACCCAACGAAGGGATTCAACTACGATAACTTTCCAAGATACTGGGGTACTCATTGCTATATGCCAATGATGTTCTGGGATCTATCATTTTCTTTTCTTCTTTTCTTTCTTCGTTTTTGCATGTCTTTTGCGTTACCATCTCTAGCCATGGGGAATCGGACCGGAGGAAGAAGAGAGTTCGGGTGGACAGCGACGGGTGGAAGAGGCCGTGAGCGAGTGACATAGGAGGGACGTTGCACAGTACGGGGGTGAGTTGTTGGCATGACATTGAGATGATATGAGAGGAAGTGTTCTAAGGCGACTTGTTTTACGCATTTTGAAGGGGATGAATGACATTCATATAATCGAGCTTTATGCCTTATGTAGATCGGAACCAGTATAAGTAGCGTAGCAATCACGCAGTCGCTGCAAGTCAGCACGGTGGACCTTGATGGTCGCAGGCTCTAGCTAGGATAACACCAAGACACATCATTCCAACAACAATCATGAAGTATTGAAAGAGCATTCTCCTCAGGTCTTTTCAGTTTCTTATTTGGTCATCATCCAACCAAGAAAGACGTCGCCACCGCGGTACTCTACCCTCCAACCCAAGCCCAACCACCAGCAAAACACCAGAGTCCACAATCCCCGAGCCCATCACAAAACCACAGTCAATCCCTGCGTCACCCTACCCATGCCCCATCCCGCAAATCTCCCATTCGGCAGTTAATCAAAGAACAAAAGGAATGTACGCCGCAGCCATTAGTTTCTGAAATTCCTCATGGAGAAAAGCGGACCAGAAACCCCAAATTGCGGCTTGGAAACAAGAAAAAAGTATGTTTTAGTTTGTTGTACACATGTCTCTCCAAGGTATAAAGCAACGTCGTGAGTCTCGCGACGAAGACCTTGTGCCTTTCACAAGAACTTGTGTCTGCCTTGATGATGGGTGAATGAAGAGAAGAGCGGGAATGGAAGTATGGATTCAGGTATCCGCGAGAGATGTTTCCATGATATTTGCGATGGGGGGTTCTCGAGGAAGGAATTCTTTGTTGGATTGCTTGTGTTGGTTAGGTTGGGTTGGGTTGGAAGGTGAGCACACAGCGGGGGTTGAGGCGACGTCGTTGGTTTCGCGGTCTGACCTTTTACCAGGTGATCATCATTGGAGAATGGTTTGCCTCTTGTGGTTTGAAGGGAGGAGGGTGAGGGATTGGGGAAGGGCTGTCTGTGACAGGGACTGAGACTGGGATGGGGGGAAATCAAGTAGGAAGTTATGGGACGTGCCTTGTGTTAGCTCAGCTTGGTGTGAACGGTTAGTTGGAGATGAGTATTGATTGTTGATGGTAGGAGCGCAGAAAACATCATGTTGGTAGTGGTGTTTCTGTTGTTGTTGCTATCATTCAGCAGACGCGTCCGTTGTGGGAGATAGATATAGAACAGAAGAGCGTATGTGTTAAAGCTAAAGAGAAAGAAAGTCAAGCTTCGGCGATAAAATGGGGAGCTTTCCCACGGATGGCCCTAAACCCGATTGGGGGCGGGGTACCACGGGCAGCGCCAAAGGGGACAATCCGTGTATTATTCCATGTCCCCGATCTCTCTCCCTGTTGAACTTGGGGGCCGTTGATCTCTGTCGTTCTGCCTTGGACTAGAGGTCAGTCGCATACGTGTCGTTTCTCCAAGGCTTTCTTTCTTTTATCCGTTGATATACCTCCTTTCTCGCCCCGCCGAAAACGTTCCTCCACTATCGCCGCTGCGGTGGTATCTTAAAGACCAGCTAGTACTTATTAGCTGCCCTCCGCGAGACACCAACGACTGTCAGCAGCAACCACACCAACCATGGATTTTCTCAAATCTGCTGTCGCATCGGCGATCGCAAAGGGTAGCTCGTTCCCTTACTCGCTCGGGGACAGAGTTGACCTCTCCGACTCGATCTGGACGCTACACAATGCTACGAAACGGGTATGAGATGTCATGCGGGCCCGCGGAATCACCCCCCAAGGGGCTAATGCGATTGCTGATCGGCGCTGGGTACGTATAGGAAGATGGTTCGCCCTGCAGCGTCTTTACCTTCGATATTGCTTCCAACAAATCCCGTCTACCGTTGGCGAAGAATGCGGTACGCAAGTCTCGGACGCTGAGACATCCGGGTGTGATTAAGGTCTTGGATACGATAGAGGTAATTGGGCATACGACAGCCCATGCATCATATGTGATATGGATGGAACGGCTTACCGGTTATAGACGGAAACTAGCCTTTATATTGTCACGGAACGAGTCGTTCCCCTTTCTTGGCATGTTAAGCGGAGGAGTCTGAGCGAGGAGACGTCGAAATGGGGCTTGTATACTGTGGCGGTATGTTCTTGCCATGGTGGTTACGGTGCGACTGTTCTGACGTATGCGGTTCTATAGTCCACACTCAAGTTCATCAATGGAGATGCGGCGTCTGTCCACGGAGTCGTCAGGGCCTCTTCGGTATTCACAAGCGAAAGTGGGGAATGGAAGCTGGGCGGTTTCGATATTCTGAGTTCGATGAACGATGAGAATGCGGTCATTTATGTCAGTATATGCTCTTCTGCATGACGAGATGCGCTCTTGCTGACAGCACACTTGCAGACATATGGTAGTCTCGTTCCTGACGCGGCTCGATTCACGCCTCCGGAGGTCGTCAAGAGCGGATGGGACACAATCAAACGGAACCCGCTGACTGCGATTGATTCTTACGGGCTTGGAATACTGGTTTACGAGGTCTACAATGGCAATTTCACTGGCGGTGACCAGGTGGGCAAGACGACGAACATCCCGCCCAGTATGCATCAGAGCTATAAACGCTTGTGCACGGCGAATCCTAAACTGCGCCTGAGTCCTGCCCACTTTGTTGAGCAGGGGAAGAAGAGCGGTGGCTTCTTCGAGACCCCGCTTATCCGGCTGACGGACGATATTGAGAGTTTGGGACTCAAGAACGACGCGGAGCGAGAGGAGTTTGTCAAGTGAGTCAATGCCTTGTTCGGAACGGGCTGCCACTTGTAGATGCTGATTGAAGTAGTGAGCTTGATGAGCTGTCTGACGACTTTCCTGAGGAGTTCTTCAAGATGAAGGTGCTTCCAGAATTGCTGAAATCGGTTGAGTTCGGTGGAGGCGGTCCCAAGGTCCTGGGGGCTATTCTGAAGATCGGAGCGAAATTATCCCAGGAAGAATTCAACTCGAAACTCACGCCAGTAGTTGTCCGACTGTTTGAAAACCCGGATCGGGCGCTGCGGGTCTGCTTGCTCGATAACCTCCCAGTGATGATCGACAACCTACCTCAAAAGATCGTCAATGACAAGATCTTCCCTCAGATTGTTAGTTACAACAGACCCCGGCTGGGCTCGATGCTAATTTCACGTTGTGCAGACCTCTGGCTTCACCGATGCCGCACCCGTCGTCCGAGAGCAGACTGTCAAGGCTGTTTTGCCAATTATCAACAAGCTCAGCGACCGTGTCATCAACGGCGACCTGCTCAAGTTCCTCGCACGTACCGCCAACGATGAGCAGCCGGGAATTCGTACAAATACCACTATCTGCTTGGGCAAGATAGCGAAAAACCTCGGGCAGAGCGTGAGTGGTTTCAATTGAGAAGTAAAATTGGCAATGCTGACAAACTACAGTCGAGATCCAAGGTTCTTATTGCGGCTTTCAGCAGGTCTCTTCGGGATCCCTTCGTCCACGCCCGGAGCGCTGGTCTGCTTGCTCTTGGAGCAACGTTAGAGTTCTTCACCGAGGAGGACTGTGCGACGAAGGTCCTTCCGGCTATTTGCCCTTCCCTTCTTGATAAGGAAAAGTAAGAACACCCACTTTTGCTTATGGCTCCGGTCTAATTCTCCATATAGGATGGTCAGAGACCAGGCGAATAAGACACTCGACCTGTATCTTCAGCGTATCCGGAAGTACGGCAGCACTATGGCAGACACGGTAATTCCTCCGGCAGCCAGTGCAGATCCGGCAAAGGATACAGCCCGTATTGGCACGTCTAACGATAAGTCGTGGGCCGGATGGGCAATCTCCTCGTTCACAAATAAGCTCACGGCTGCCAATGGCGAAATTCAGCCCACCGCCAACGGTGCCAAACCGGTCGAGCCTGAACCAGCTCGTCCAGCGTCTGTTCCCCGCCCAACGAGGGCGTCGTCGTCGGTGCAGAAAGAGACGCTACGGCCTGCAGCTCAGTCTCTGAACCGGTCCATGTCGGAGCAACCACCGACTTTGGCTAAAGCAGAGGACGATGCAGAAGATGTTTACGACGCGTGGGGTGCAATGGACGATGATGAAGACGAGCAGCAAGCGGACGAGGATCCATTCAGTGCGACAGCAACTAGCAGTCCGACCGTTTCTGCTCCTGCTCCTGCTCCTAAAGCAGCCCCGGTCCCGTACGATGATGGTGGCGAGCCAGACTTTGCGGGTTGGCTGGCCGCCCAGTCCAAGACAAAGAAGCCATTGCCAAAGGGGTTGAATAAATCCAGTCCCACCTCTGTATCTCGGCCATCGAGCCGCAGTAGCACGGTTAAGCCCAGGACCGTTGTCGCACCAGCGAAGAAGATCGATACGACACCTAAGGACACTGAGGAGGATGACGGTTGGGGTGATGCTTGGGATTAGCAGTATAAATTCTTAATACCCGATTCTTTCTGTTCATCAGGGTACATATTCCCTTGCGCTATATTGTGATTATATCTCTCATCTTGCGACATATCCAAGGCATGAAGGCAGGGGAGTTTGGGCGCCATGCAGTATATAGTCTGGTTAATTATTTGTTTGTTTGTTTGTTTGTTGCTGCTGCTGCTGCATGAGTTGCGGTAGGATAGAATCAATTAGTGCAGACATGGTTACATACAACATGATTGAAGGTTAATTATCTGGGGCAGCCCACTCGAAGTAAATATGAAACGCCGGGTAGCGGTAGGGGGCAACACCGTTAGATAAATCGATAGCTGAGTGGAGGAGAGATAAAATACTACTAGTCAGTCTGGCTTGAGGATCGACTCGATAAGGCGGAGGGGCGGCGCCAATCAAGCGCCGGCTGCCCCGTGATCACATCCGCCGCTGATCCTCCGCCGCCCGAGACAGTTCCAAGTCATCTTGTCTCTCCCTCCACCTGCCGACCATCCCGTTCTCTGCCTTGGGGGACTCTTGTCATCTTACTCCAGGGTAGGACTTGACATCCTACTTCTGCCGTGCGGTTTGCTCGCTCGCGTGCACAGTGCCAGAGCTGATTCTCGTGCTCAGAATCTAGATAATCCTGCTGCCTTCCAGCGTCTCCGTGCCTGAGTGTGTCCGGGAAGGCTGGTGGGTGTTGCATATCTCCTCATGCGCGATGGATGACGGGTTACGAACTTGAAGGTTAACTCGGTCCGTGATATTTATTCCGCACATCTACAGCATTATTCGTCCTCGCTACAATGGAATCCGACGAAGCTCCTCCTCCGCCATACTCTGCGGTCGACCCGTTACTCGCACAAGCAAACAGCCGAAATGCCGCTGCAACTGCGGAAGTGAATCGTGTCCTGCTACGTCTGCGTGGGGGGGAGACAGCCCCCGGCACCACGCCCTCGAGCCCTGCGTCCAGCTCCGCCAGTCATGATCTCCTAGCATCCTCCTCCAGCTTGCCTACCCACTTCACATCTGCCGCGGAATACTTTGTGGAGCGACCGCCTCCGACTTCGAGCCGTCAGGGGGACATTGTGGAACATTGTGTAACGATCTTTCCGCGCAGTCAATCAAAGGACATCCGACGTCGTCCTCGTTGTTGGACCGCGCAGAAGACGGAAGACATCACCCAGCAGGACTGGGACGTTTTTCTGAGATACCTGTTTCCTCCACATTTGGGTTTAGCGTCTACTTCGGCACAATTGCCCCGTCAAGTGAGAGCGGAGATTCAGCGTGACCGCAAGGATCGGCCCCAGGAAACGGATGAGGAACGCAAGAGACGGATTGCTGCCGTGATCATGGAGTGGAACCAATACTTCTTCGAACCCCGCTCGGCTCGTGTCATATATGTCTACGTGATGGATCCTCAGAGTGCGCCGCGATCATCTTTGTGTCCTAAGTGCTGGCCTGCTGCGACAACACGAGAGAATCGAGTCGCCCAGGCGCCCGACGCTGGTCGAGATCGCTTGCAACAGTCGCCTGCGACACCTACAGCTGCTGAGCAGCCTGGTGCGTCTCCAGTCAATGCTGTTTATGCGCCAGGACCATATGCCTACCCACATTACCCCGCCCCTCCTACCCCTTACGCACCTTATGGGCATCCTGCGCCATACAGCCCTGCTGTGTATCCGCCTCATCCCGCATATCATTACCCTCCTCCACCGCCGCCGCCGCCGCCGCCAGGACACTACCCCCCTCAACCTCCTTGGGGCTGGAATGCTCTTCCATATGGGGCCCCGTACCAGGACCCAAGCATGTCGAAGGGAGGAGGGCCCTTGGATTGGATAGCGTCCTTGGCCTCACAGGCTCAAAAGTATGGAGAGCGCTTCACGGAGCAAGCACAACATTATGGAAGACAGGTGGAGGAACAGGCTCTTGCTCACACTCGCTGGATCGAGGAGCAGGCCGGACTCCAGGGACGAAAGGTGGAAGATGCCTTCACAGGCTTTGTCAGTCCGTCTCGCGATGATTGGATTGCGAACCAACCCCCTAAGCCTGGGTACGTGCAAAATAACATTACACATACACCTGCGGCCACGACCACGACTACAACAGCTACGCCTCAACGTGCTACCCCAGCCCAGCCTGAACGGACTCGCCGGGTTTCAATCGACTCGGAGGCATCCGACCTGTCTTTCTCTTCCATTGATTCCTTGTCGACAACGTCCGAGCTCAGCGCCTCTGATCTGGCCACTGTCCGCGCACAGCTTTTGTCTCTCAACGACCATCATGACCGTGAGCTGTACGAAGCCGCCGTAGGCCTGCGCCGTCAGCTTGACGTTTTACAGCAATCGCGACGCCAGAACCGCACATCTGGACGAAGCGGCTGGCGCCACGGCTGGAGACGATGGGACTCGCCAAGCGAGCAGCACCAGAAGCAGTCAGACAAACGAGCGGTCAAAGAAGAGACCCGAGCTACGCGGAAAGCGTTCCGGGATGTCTTGCGTCGGGCGCGAGAAGAACAACGCGAGAAGCGGCGGCTCAAGCGCACCCGCCGGCGTCAGGAGCAGCGGGTTCGTGAGATGCAGAGGGACGGTGGTGAAATGCCACTCGAGCAGCACATGCAGCGATTGGAGCTTGACACTAATCGCGAGAGCCGCTCAACAGTGCAGTCTTTCACGTCCATTCCATCCCCGGCGCGGTCCTTGGCCGAATCGGATAGTGATATCAGTTCCATCAGCACGCCGAGCACATCAAGTAACGAGAAGATGCTTGTCAAGGGGAAGAGCGAGAAGTCGGCACTGGAAAAGAAGCCGAACAAAGAAGCAGAGAATTCATGTGAAAAAGACAAGAAGGGCTCCGGTCAATATAATCGGGGGGCGTCACGGCGCAATTAGTGGGCCATAGCCAGGACAAATCATTATTTGGAAGTTTTATGGAACGATGCATGATCATAGCGGTGTTTATATTCATGGAAGAGACTGGAATTGGGATTCTCTTGTGTATTTATTACTTTCTTTTTTTATTTTCCTCTACATCATACCGGCGTCAACCCGTGGTAATTAGCATGCTTGTTCAACACGAAATCTAGAGCCATGCACCAACCAATCCCATAACCAATACCAGGATCTACCAAAAACCATCGTATAATATCTATTTTATACAAGAAAGGCAACCCCCACTCTTTTTTCCCCGATACCTAGAATTAAGCAAGAGCATTTACTGAGAAGAACCCTGTGCCTCATTCTTCTCAACCAAATCCCCCACTCCCAACCCACGCCCAACCTTCACCTTAACCATCTTCTCACTACTCTCCTTCTCCTCCTTCTTCCCCAACTCACCCACCTCATCTCCCTCATCCGCATCCTTCTCATCTTTCTCCGCCCGCTCGCGATCCTTCCGCTCAATCTCCGCCCAATCGATAAACATCCCCGACAGATCCATGCGCATCGCGTACGCATCCTCCCCATCCGCATAGTACTTGCTCTCGACACTGTCGACCTGGAATCCCAGCGTATCGCGGTAAAGATGCAGGGCCGCCTTGTTGGATACGCGCACGTGCAGGGACACGTATTGTGCGCGGTGGCATTCGGCCATTGCGCGTTCTACAACACATCCCCAAGATAAAATTAGCATGCGACTCTCTCTACCACAAAACAAACAATCATAAACCACCCATCCACAGAAAAAAAAAAAAAAAAAGAAGTTGGAAAGAATGAACATACGAGACATCCTCATCAACCTCTCCGCAATACCCAACCGTCTATGCGTCCTCATCACAGAAATACTCGTGATATGACCATGCGGCACCCCATCCGTCGGCTCCTCCTCCATCTTCGCCAACACGTACCCCACTACCTTGGGGTATTGTTCTGCGGCGCTGCCGGCGCCCTTTTCCGAGGTATACTTGCTGTAGCCGTTCTTGGGCCGCACCACGGCCACGAAGGATAGTTGGGGCCAGGTCAGAGCATGGTACAGGTAGTATTTTAGGAAGTAGTTCTCGGGCAGGTTCGTGATGTTGCAGGTTTGGATCGATGGGAGGAGGTCGATGTAGGAGGGGTAGCTGCTGAGGGGGAGGATGTCGACCATTTTGGTGAGTTTCCCGGAGGAGGGGGGAGGGATTGGTTGGTGGGGTGTGTAGGGAGAGCGGGTGATGAAGGAAATGAGGGATTGGGGTAGGTAATTGGACCCCGAGTGTGGTTGAAATCAGTAGCTTGTCGTAGTAGTCTACTGTGTAAAGTGTGGTGATGATATTGAGGGCGGAGTTGGTTGGTGGTGGTGGTCAGCTGAGTGGGCGCTAGCTGGTTTGGGTTAGGGGCATCGGAGTACTACTTTGTCGACGGAGTATATCATTGTTGACTTCCGAGGATGGCTACCAGCTACGCAGGGTCAGAGAAATCTGTTTATGACTTTAGTAAGGAATTGGGTTCCATTTCTAACTGTACAGTCGTCAATCATAATATAAGTTAGTCCATCAACTCCGAACACCCACTATATACGCTCGGAGCAACACTAGAATATTGATGCCATATACTGCACACCCGCAATCAGGAGCAGCGTACTCATCACACTCACTCCAGGCATCACGCTCGACGCTGCAGATGCTGCGCCGCAGCATTTCCCATCCCAGGTCACGTTGTTCATCTCCGCCGCCACCTCGAACACGGAGCCGTTGATGTTGCCGTAATTATAGTAATCCACGAGAAGGAAGTTAGGCGGCCGGTCCCACATAGCTAAGAGGCAAATATATTAGCTTGTTACACAGATCACAGTCAGCCGTTACTTACCCGTGCAGTTGCGGGCCATCTTGCCCAGACTACCGTAGCCGGAGACCGCGTTGGTCTGGTTGAGCGAGGCCGTGTTGGGGATCAGCAGACTAATGCTGGCAATGTTGATGTCGAGATTTAGGTTGTGGTTGGCCATGTACATCCGGTCTTTGGCGTCCTGCGCGGACAAGTCGGGCGGGCGCTGCTCCGTGCAAGGGAAAGCCGCGTCTGTAGGCGAAAACGGCGTCTCCCACATCTGCGAAAACTCGTCCATGAGCCACGGGTAGGCCGTCTGATTGGCCTGGTAGTCCATGAAGACGACGGCTCGCTTGCCAGAGAGAATCATACTGGACATCGTAGGCCAATCGTCCAGCGCCATGGGGATCTTCGAGGGGGTGAACACATAGTCCATAAGCCCAGAGTTTTGCATCGGACCCGTGAAGTTGCCGGGGTCAACATAGTCATAATTGCCTATCAAGATGGTGACCACGTCATATGGATGGGTTTTGACCCATTTCGTGACCGTCGTCAGATAGTCTTCCAGAGGGCCCATGTTCAGAAGATCGCAGCTGGTGTGACAGAGGTAGAGGGTGTTGTTGACCAGGTGCGTTTGAAATTGCACTGTCCGGGGTGTCAGCAAGATTTCAGCCCGCAAGCTAAGCTTTGTCGATCGGACAACTTACGCATCCGAATTCCATCGTCCAGCTGAGCGGTAACCTTCAACGCCTGGTTGGCTGCCGCATTGCCTGGCTTGACAAACGGACTGTTGTGGGCAGCAACCATGGTGATGTTGGAATACTTGCGAGCGCAAAACTCCGCGTGGCCATTGCAAGGCTGTGTGTTGACGACCGGGGTCGACGATGCGGTCGACGTCGCTGTTGTGGTAGCGTTGGTGCCATTGACTCCGCCGGTCTGTCCGCCCACCAGCAATGTGAGGGACTGCGACGAAGAAGTCACCGTCGTGGTGAAATTGCCGGATGTTGTTGTAGAGTTGGAAGTGGTTGTCGCGGAGTGCGCCCCGGTGCTCGTGACAGTATGTCCATCGTCGAGAGTCATAGTGGTAGTGTAGGAGAGGTAGTGACCTGTGGGCAGCGTCGCTTCACTGATGGACGACGTGACGGTCCCCTCGAGAGTCAGGCCGCCATTGTTGCCGGTAGTCGTGGTGGTGGTGGTGCTATCATCCTTTGCCAGAGAAGGCCAAACGCCCACTGCCAGGAGCGGCAGAAGGTGAGCGATCAACCGCATGACAAGAGGTGGTCTGGAGTCAAGAGGCCGGTCTGCGGAGGCTCGGAAGTTTTGGATATATATACAGCGGTGTATCTGTCCGAGGAGGACCACACGATGCGATCAGATGCACCAGATAAGCCACCAGATGGATCAAGACCCTGAAGAAACAGAAAAATCACCGGGCGCGGAATGATGTCTTACGATGAAGTCAACCATGGATGCTGGGCTGGTAAGGTATTTTTAGGTAGGTAAGGTAGGTAAGGTATTGTTACCACGCAGGGTTTCCCGCCTTCAGGGTACTGGCTTTACTTTAGGGGGGGCCGATCCCGGCAGCCATTGGTTGCCACCCCCCCTGACTGTCCGCCCCGCTGTCCCGGAGAGGAAAGCTCGAAGCTGGCCAGCAGCCGATCTTAGCCTGGATTTCACTGGCAGATCGCCCGCATGGAAAATCCTCTCAGTCCTTCCGGCCAATCAGATTGTCTCCTCAGCCCAGGCAGCCAGAATTGAAAAAGACACCAAGAGTGGGTCCCACCTGTCGATGACGTTGTTTGAGCCAGTCTTGGCCAAAGAGTCACAGACAGAAACAGAGTTGGTTGTGCCGAAACGCCAGAATAGGCAGTGACTTTTAATTCCAGGCCCTATGAGGGTCATTGCTAGTCGTTCTTGGCGAGTGGCTCCTGAATGTCGTGAGGATTGCCAGATCAGCCACGATCCACACTGCATTGGGTAATCGGAAAAGCCATCAGCGGCTAACTCATGCCTATCATCACTGTATTCCAGCCCATCACCAGCCACGAACTGGGGAGGTTTGGCGTTAGTCAACGGCCTTAACACAGTAAGAGGCTAAGAGCCCCTCGATCAACGGGGGGTATTGCTGCACTTGCTTCAGAAGCAAGAATTACATAGTAATCTGCTCACGATCGGCCTTCTCCACCTCATTGCCCACAGTCAGACTGCCGCCCAAGAGGGAAAAAGAGGCAGGACAAGGAAAAGTTCCTGCCACCATCGCAAAAATGTTCCCATCAGGGTCTAGACCAGTGGCGCTGCTAAGAATACCTGCTGCGGCCCTAAGACTGAGACTTTCTCCCTGAGTAAGATTATTGAAGCCGCCAGCGTTACGGCTCGTGTGAAATTCTCATTGTTGTTTTTATTTATATTTATATTTTTATTGTTATTATTCTTTTAGTTTGAATTTTTAAACCTCTTACTTATAATTCAATTCCACATATCCTCCTTCTGGTTGGCTGCCAAGGCGTCTAACTTTTTTCAACCTTAAAGCCCAATTTAATTCCCACGGCGGATCAGATCAGTCGGTAATATTCAGTCATCCATCCTGTGTACGGTGTATACGTTGCCCTCGCCATCCACTTTGCTTGCCCTTTCCCTACTATCCTTTTCCTCCCATTCCCGCCATCTCTTCCTGTTCCTCGCTCCCCTTTTTTCCTTTTCTTCCCACTCTACGGTTCTCGTCTCCTGGATGTATCCCCAGTTTCCTCTCCTGATCCCGTCAACCTAATCCCGTGGTTGCCGGTGTTTCCCTCCCCACTGGTCCCTTTCTCTCTTTCCCCCATCAGAATCCTGGCACGTGGTTCACGGGGGACGTAAACGTCATCCAGTCGATGTCTTCCCAGATCTCTTCTATACTATTAGAACTTAACTAGGCGCCCTGCTCTTGTCCTGAGCTGGGTCTTTTCTCCATCCTTCGCTACCCATTCTCTCCTCTACCCTCTTCGTCTATTCTCCGAATCTATTATCCGCAGATTCCGGGCTTGTCCTCTCCACCACCACGTGCTTGACAGCGGTCCATGGCAAAGCTGCCCCTGTTCAGGAAAGCTCCTGCACGTCCGCAGGCCGGCCGGAGCAGGTCGAAGGTGCTCTGGCATCGCATCCTTCGTTCCTTCTGCTATCTGATCGCTTGGATATTCCTGATCTTGGTCTGCATTGGCAATGTCGCCAATAAGCCCGTTCTCCGACAGACCTACTTCCTCGAAATCAACCTTGCGAATATCATCCCACTGTCCACCCCCAATGCGGTCCTGATCGATACCATTGCTCGCACCATCGGTCTGCACGACTTTTACCAGGTGGGACTATGGAATTTCTGCGAGGGTTATTTGGACCAGGGCATCACCCATTGCTCCTCGCCCAAACCCCTCTACTGGTTCAATCCCGTCGAGATCATTCTCAGTGAACTGCTATCCGGCGCAACGAGTACGATCCTCCTTCTACCGTGAAAACGAACCCATCACTAACAAACCTGCAGTTGCTCTTCCTGCCGACATCACGTCAGCTCTGCACATCGCTCGCATAGCTTCTCACTGGATGTTTGGTCTCTTCATCACCGCCACCGTCCTAACCTTCATTCTCATCTTTCTATCCCCACTCGCTGTCTCTTCACGGCCTCCTCAGGCCCTTTCCTCCGACCCAGTCGTCAATCAAACCCACCCACAACATCGCCGTCGTACTTTTGTGCTTCTCCGTTCTCTTCCATTCCTCATCCTAACCTTCCTGACTGCTCTCTTCACCGTTGTCGCCTCCGTCGTCGCAACAGTCATGTTCATCATCTTCCGCAACGTCTTCACCTCCGCCAGCGAAGACCTCAACATTGACGCCTGGATCGGCACTCGCATGATGGTGTTCATGTGGATTGCCTCCGCCTTTAACCTGATTGCCTTTATCCTCCAACTCGGCTCCTGCTGTGCCTCCTGCTGTGGTGGCCGCAAAGCGCGCAAGCAGCTCAAGCGGAATAGTGCCGGCACTACGAGCCCTAGCAGCACTGCTTCCCCTGATGTGCGTGAGAAAGAGCATCCACACAGTCCCGCGACTACGGAGTGAGCTGTTCTCTTCCTTTTCCAGACCACATATGCTCTCTCACATTGTGATCTCCTCCCTCCTCTTATATCAATACCCCGCAGTTCATAAATCGAATGAGGAAAATCGCCTATACGACGATGATAAATAGAACATACAAGGTGTGAGCATTGCAGGGGCCCGCCAATATATACTGATCTGGATATGTATACTGTACGTCTTTCTTGTTTGGCCATTCTGGTTCGGGTTATGCTGTATAGAACGCGATGGATATAGACTGGGGCATATTCATCTTAGACGGGATTCGGTTTTGGGTCTGAGTTGAGCTTGTGGCTGCCTTGCTTCCTCTGATACATTGGGAGGGCGCTCTACACATGCCGCCCAGCTTGCATAGGTTACGATCTTTACGACTCTGTTATGATATTACGAGCGTGCGTATTTCAAGAAGTTCAATCCAACGAAGAGGAGGTTGTATCCCAGATGAGAATTGTATTTCATGTTCAACGAGATACTAAGTGAGACTGCCTTGGTACCGTAGGACTGTAGTGTCGTAATTCGATGACTTTAGAAAGGGTACTGATCGCCATGATATAATCATTATCAGGCCACGTCAACAGTACTCAGCCCTGTTACCTACAACTGACGTGGAAATCCAATTCACCGCTGGATTAGAAAATCCCCCACTAAGGTGGGCCCTAGATAAGTGGGGTGTGGGTTCGAATACTAAGCATGCAAGTAAGACTAGAAGCAGCTGCACTAGAAGGGCAGCGATAGCTAGGCCAACTTGGACAATGATGGTCACCTCTGATACTGCCACTATTAGATATCAGTGGCAAGAAGTGCACATTTCCCCTTACGTGCCATTTTTCGGACATTATGTCTTCGATAGGGAGAAAAAAAAAATAGAATACTCTATTGTCATGAGTTACAGCTCTAGTCAAAGTAGCTATAAGCACCTCGAAAACATCCTGTCAATGTCTTCTATAACTACATAAATGAACACCGCAATATAACCCCCGTTCTTGTTATCACCTAGCTCAATGTTTAGAACCTTGGATCAAACAAAAGGCTTATATAGGTTTGACTGGGGAAGGATGTTGCCAAATGGAGCTAATCTAGGCGAATGTCCGCTATTCCAACTCCATGTAAGTACAATACAAAGTAGATGGTTATCCCTAGCTGTTTTCGGACTAGTCCTATAAACTTTAGCAGGACTATAACTGGCTATTTACTCTTGGTGCAGAACTAGTTTATTATTCATAGCCTTAGAAGTATGTAGCTTTAGAGGTGGTCTTGGGGTGAGTGTAGGACATGGGCCTGGAGGGTGGTCTTATTGATATAAGGAGTATGCTGTCAAGCGGTCACATGGCAAAGACAGCCAGCCAGCCAGCCATATGTATATTCCCTACTAGTAGCTACTAAGTACAACCTATAATTTGATAAGTATTGAGTCCTTGGGTTAACTGATTGGTGTCTACTAAAGACCAATCTATACGCCATACCCACATCGGCCATCTAATTATTACTGTATCTGAATTATGCTATTGCGTGCGGATTCGATTCCTGCTCCTTTGGGTTGTGTCAATGCATCAATATATCACCAGCCTGCGTATAACTATATCCAATGATTATTTATATATCTCGGGCGAAGCAATACCCTACTATCCAATTGCGATGCCAGACGCGTGCCACCATGTACTCGGTAGATTGAAGTACTCCATAGTGATAGTTATACTACAATCTAGTTGAAAGCCGCCAACAACAAGAAATACAAATGTAAAGAATACCTCCCACTGAAAACCACTCATTTACGACTGCTCTGCGCGCAAACCCAGATCTTCATGGTCAAGGAACAACCAGTATATTCGCTGGAGCAGAAAGAAAGAAAAAGCCACTGGTGGGGGTCATCCACTTACCTTAAAATGACCTTGTGGAAGTCTTATGCGCTACCGATTGCGGCACAAGGGATTCCTTGGTGGATGTCAGCTCTACTTTTATGTATTTCAGCTCGCATTCGTTGTAATCAGTGCCAGATATTGGAATAGAGAAGCTTGTGAGAGAAGTCCTTCATGTGAAGAAAGACCTAAATTAGATGTAAAACAATTGAAATGTCTTAGTGAAGGGAAAGTAAAAAATATCATTGAAAGTCCATGGCGGAGATACCCACGCTTTGAGATTAACTATTTGATTGTTAGTAAACTGTTTGAAAGTTGCATTTTCTATTCAGGAATACTGATTGCGCCACAAGGGCCGACCCATCAGGTAGGTACGACATGAGCATAATTTCTTTGCAAGGCTGGCCTGCCTCTTTCTGGACAGTTATCTGTCGCATCTATTCTCCGCTTCTTTAAAATGACTTTACCGTGAACCTATTTTGCTTTATTGCAGACGCTTGAAGTAAAATACAGCTCTAAGAAGAGCGAGAGAGCCGCACAGCACAGCCTCTTATTATTTGGGTATTGATCATTTAGAAACATTCTTCGGGCTATCCCCAACCCGGGCTTTGTATACATCACAATCACCCGGTTTGGATGTGGTAATCGGCGAAGCTAACTCTTGCTCCATCATTCGTGCCAAGTCATCATCGTTGTCCTCCACCCGATCGTCTGACGCAATCTCGCAGGGGTCCCTTGCTGGTACGTGGCCGTCCCGGCACCGCTCGGAGTCGTGAGGCCCACCCGCGGGTTTTAGAGAACCTTGTCGAGCTGCTGGGGTTACACTGAAGCGGAAGTTCTGATTGCCGACATCCCCGTCTGCATCCCCAAGCCAACTGTATTTCTTGTTCCGCAGTGACTGGAGCATCTCCACGCGTCGTTGAGATTCCTCCTGTTCTTCTGGGGTGGGATTCGCTGCTGATCCGTCATCGCCCGTTTCTTCGGTCAGGTCGATTGTGATTGGCTCCCCAGCAGATGCATTTGGTGTAGAAGCCATGGATTGTGGCTGTGAGGTCGATGGTTGTAGAGAGGTCGCATTTGAGCTAGCATGGCGTGCCCGGGGAGGCTTGTATCCAGTCGGTATCGGAGCAACTGCGGGCATTTGCTTCTGAACTTGAATCTCATATAGCAGATTGTTGTAGACCGTGCCAAGATCATGAAGCTTATTCTTCCACTCGATGGCCTCTTGCTTGTACTGCTCAACTCTTTGTTGATGTCGGGAGCACACACGTCGCAGCATGGCATTCTGCTCAAGCAATGTCTGTTGTTTTGTTTTACCCGTCGCCGGATCCATGGCCGTCAGGTCCGACGCCAGTGCCCACTCCTGTTTGTACTTGTTGCGTTCCAGCGTCAGCTGCTGTACCTTATTCCGCAGAGTCGCAAGGCGCAAGTTTGTCCGATCATCCGACACTTCGATGCACCTGACATGGATATTCGGAGCTGACGGCATATATCCCAATGGGCCACCATAAACCGGATACGGCGAGACATACTCTGGCTCGGCAAACACTCGCTGCAGAGCTTCGCGGTTTGTGCTGTCGACGATTTCTTGGTGATCAAGAGAAAACCGTTCCTTGGTAATCTCGCTGACGGAGGGTAGATCGAAGGGCTGGTCAAACACACTGCAATTCGCCGCCATGTCCTCCTTGCCTCCATCTCCATTACCCACGCCCTGGAAGTCAAAACCAAAAGAAACCTCGCCATCAGGGATGTTCAACGAGATATCGCCCGGAGGGTCTTCAAACAGAAGGTCTATAGGGTCGAAGACGGCATCGGACTGTTGTTTCTCAACATCGCTTGGCGTATGAGGGCCCGTGCCTCCTTGTTCAGGTTGTCCAGAATCTAGAGATAATAACGAGGGTGTTTTATCCGGAGACTCTGTGGTCAAATCTTGCGACATCTCTGTGGCTTGCCTTTTTCTAGGCTGGTCCCAGGAGATACATTCTTCAGAAAACGCCTCGTCGCCATCTCGCTTCCGGGGCTGCAAGACCGCATCAATCTCCTGCAGGACAAGTTCGGAATCGAAGAGGGGGTCGTACAAATCTTCCACGGCGTTATTGGAATCGTCAAATGCCGAAAAATCGATTTCTAACTGTGGAGAACGGGTCGCGATATCTGCCCACGGCTGTCGGGACTCGGCTACCTCTGAGCCGGCCGGGGGTTGTTTTTCTAAGGATGCATCCTTGACTTCCACTTGCTCCCCGTAACTGTGACCTTTTCCGGTATTTCCGAGCTGTTGTGTGCAGTATCGTGCATCGGTTGTTGGGTTTTCTGACGTCGTGTTCACATCTCTGGTCGGCAAAATCCGTTCTTCATGTTGGGAGGACTTGGTGGAGAGCTGCAGCTGGGACCCAGGGGGAGGTGTAAGCCCCAGATCATTCACGTGCAGATGAGGTAGTGATGGGGGAGATGGAAGGCCCTCACGATCATGAAGACCATGGGGGTCTGGAGGACAGGTCTGGAAAGAGGTAGAAATACCTTCAGCCATGCTTCCATTCATCCCAGCGAAGAATTCAGGCCCAGTTCGAAGACGGCCAAAATGAATGTGTACCCTGCTATGCCGTTCGATATTTCCGAGAGGGAGCGGCGACGGCACTTAGGAGATGAAGGAGCGCTCCATCTACTCATAACCCAGCTCTGCAGATGGTAAGAATGAGGATATCCCTCGCTTCGAGACTGTGAAGCGTACCTCTTGAGAGCAAGTGTTCAGATCTCAAAACGACTGTGATTTGAGACTTGTCCCGCGGGGAATATGGACGGCAGGTAGGTAACAGGGAGAGCCAGCAAGTGCCTCAGGTGAATAGCCTGTCAGCAGGCTCAGGCTAGCCACTGGATACGCGCCCTATTGCATAATCCGGTTTGAAGTGCAACAAAATGTACAGTTTGGCCAATCTTATGAGAGAACGAGATGCCACACGTGTCCAGTGTGCTCGATATAATCCCCTAACGAGTGAGAATGACCAGAAAAGGCCAGGTCAGGTCAGCCACGCAGAAGTAAAGAAGCAAAGAAGTACATCGCAGTAGAAAAGATTCCCATTCCGTCCAAATTTAATCCGAGATGATGCTCGCCGCCCTTGACACCGCCCTGTGCACCGCTCACGTGCCCCACATAGTGTCCGCCGCCAAGCTGGGCGGCCGTGGCTTTAAGGCCGGCAGGAAGCTGACCGGCACCGCATCTTCTTTACTTTAGTAACTGGCGACTCCCCCAGTTCCCCGTCCCTCCTCGCCTCTTCAGCGTCCTTGCTTCTGGGCTCGTCTACAACCTTCAACATGAGCGTTATACTTTGCACTGGTATGCAATTCCCTCGGCGCTAGCTGGTCTCTAACGTCTTCTGTCTGTCCCAGTGGGAATTGACTGACCAATGTTCTATAACTCGTGATGTCCAGCGGGCTACGACCACACCATTCGGTATGTCAGACTGTGTTACTTGCGCCCCGAAAAGTTGACGTCGCTAACTTGGCCCAGTTTTTGGGAGGCCCTGTCGGGAATTTGCTCGCGCACTATACAGCATCCCGATTCCCAAGTTAATCGATTATGCATCACCCCCGACAAACGGTACTTGGCAGCCGCCGGTCACAACAATGTCAAGCTGTATGACATCAAATCTACCAATCCCAATCCAGTCATGACCTTCGACGGCCATACAAACAACATCACTGGCGTCGCGTTTCACTGCGAGGGGAAGTGGATGGTTACCAGCTCGGAGGACGGTACGGTTAAAGTCTGGGATACCCGTACAGGCAGCCTGCAGCGCAATTACGCGCATAAAGCTCCAGTCAACGATGTTGTAATCCACCCCAACCAAGGCGAACTTATTAGTGGGGATCGCGCTGGTATCGTCCGGGTTTGGGACCTGGGTGAAAGCGTCTGCACCCACCAGCTAATTCCCGAGGACGACGTTGCGGTTCACAGTGTTAGTGTCGCAAGCGATGGGTCCTTGCTTTGCGCTGGAAACAAGAAGGTAGGAAGGATGATTATCCTTTACTCGTCTTCAGCGCTGACTTTGAGCGACCGATTTATAGGGTAATGTCTACATCTGGCGCATGATTCAAGACGCCGAAATAACGCGCATCGTTCCGATATGTACCTTCCAGGCGCACAAGGACTACCTCACCCGCGTTCTTCTCTCCCCAGATGTCAAGCATCTCGCGACGTGCTCTGCCGACCACACGGCCAAAGTATGGAACCTTGATCTTGATTACCCGCCGGCCAAGATTGCCGCCGCCAACGCCGCCAAAGCTAAGGCCAGAGCCATTTCTTCGCCCGAATCGAATGACACCCCTTCTTCCCCAGAATCGACGCAACACGTGAACAACGCATCTCCCAACGGCACTGACTTTGAAGCCAACCCATTCAGTCTTTTCCAAGCAGCGACACCACCTGTCAATAACGAACCGCAGCAGACCTTCCCTGTACAACCGGACGGACCCCCCATGGACTCCGCAACAGGGACGCTCTTCCTAGAGACCACGCTTGCCAATCACCAACGGTGGGTCTGGGATTGCGCTTTCTCCGCCGACTCTGCGTATCTCGTCACAGTATCCAGCGATCACTACGCCCGCTTATGGGAGCTGGCTTCGGGCCAGATCATCCGTCAATACAGTGGCCATCACCGCGGGGCGGTATGCGTAGCGCTGAACGATTATTCCGAGCCGCGTTGAGTGTTGTGTCTTCCATCATGAAGCTGCCTGGCGGCAGATGTATGCGTCTTTAACCCTTCTTTTTTCCTTCCCTTTCTTCTAATGTTCTTGTCTAAGTATGGTTCAGGGCTAATGGTCAGCATGGTGCCTGGTTTGGGGCTGGAGGCACGAAGGCGAGTCGCCTTCTGCATTGGAGTTCAGGTTTTGCTTGATTCCCAGTGATGCGTCATTGGATGTTAGCGAGTTATGCTGGTTTGATATCCGTATATGCATGAGTTTGTTGTATTGGCCGGTTTCATGGCTGTAATTATTCCCAACGTAGCCATTGATAACCGTTTATTTCCTACTTATGATACCATACCACAGGAAAATAAACCAAAAGATCAACTCAATGACGGATTCCACCCATACCATACACACATCATGACTCCAGAGCTACTACACATAAGATAAAAGCAAGAAAAAGCCGAAACAAAAAGCCGCCCATCCAATCGTATCATCAACAACCCGGGGCCCTCCCTCATAAACCAACCACACATAAACACAAATCGACGAAAATACTTCAAAAAGCTCCCTTCATTCATTACTCTATATAGAAAAGAAAAATTCCCCCCAAATCAACCATCCTCACCAAAAAAAAAAAAACAGAGAAAACAACCCACCTAACCCAGCGCAAACCACGTCACACTAACAACAACATCCAGACCCCGTTCCTCAGCGCCAGGATACTTGAACGTCCACATACCATCGCGGTTCACATCCCAGAAAGCACCAGACGCAGAGTGCATCCCACGCTTGCCGGTGTTGCTGGTCGCGCCGTCAGCGGCGGCGGACTTGTCGATGAGGCCTTGTTGCACGATGGTGCTGTTCACGGTGAAGCGGTAAGGAGGGGCAGTCGAGGGGGTGGAGGGGGCGGTGGCGGTGATGAGGGCTTTCAGGATAGTGTTCTGTTGGATTTGATTTAGTGATTAGCTTGATCAAGGAGGGGTTGTTGTTGTTGTGGGGTAGATACAATAATTTGGGAGTTCCAGTCGCCGACTTTGGTGTGTTCGTATTCGGTCACTTCTTTGAGGGCGGTGTCGCAGGCCTAGATTGGGGGGGAGGGGTCGGTGGTTAGCTGGGGTAAAGAAGGTGTAGTTGTACTTTGTCGGTGGAAGTGAGGGTATGAGTGAACGCACCTCGGTGGCGATCTTGGTCAATTCAGGGATCGGAACGGGCTATGCGAGTCGAAAAGTAAGTATATTGTCATGAGTAGTCCGTCTGGATAGGTACGCGAGAGGAGTCGGATGACGTTCGGATTGCGGGCTATCCAGGTACGATCATTGCACGGGGATGGTGGTGACACACCGAAGAGGGGGTAGCAGCGTCGACAGCCATTGTGAATGAAAGGGTTGGGTATTTTTTCAGAAGGTGTTTTGTGTGAGACTTGGAGGCTAACGGTTAGTGATATTCGCGCGTGTGTCTGGTTGTAGATAGGGGATGTTCGTCGGGGGGAGAGTTGATAACCATGGGTTGCTGGAGATGCGATTGTGGGGGAAGGACAGGCAATGCGGCTCCGGGGCCGGCGAACCAAGCAACGCGGGCTGATGGAATTAGTGGATAAGATGGTCACTCACTCAATGCAAGATACTATGCTATGCTGGTATGCGCGGAAGTGTCAAGGAGAGTGCGACAGCAGCGAGAGAACAGCTAGCGGGCATGTGCTGAAGAATGAATGTTTGGGGGCTCGCCGTCGACTGGCATCATGGCTGTCGCTTTGCGCTTCATGATTGGACAGGATGAATATCAGGCTAGGCTGAGAGGGGTTAGTGTCCGGTCCAAGATCGGACTAGCTGATTACTTGGTTGGGACTAGCGCTGTCATCAGCTGCCATCACGTACTATGCATTTAATACATGGCATATTCAGTATATATTCACCCTGCAGACACCCTTGCTGTACGAGGCGACTGTTTCAAACCTACTTTTGGCTATATACTGATACGCTATTACAGATGCTGCAGATTCGCTTCTGCTTCTTATATAGTATGGATTCTATCCATCAGATCCACTGTTTGATTCCGCTTCATCTGCATAATCTCTAAAGTATAAGAAGAATATCCGTCAAGGCTTCGCATACAATTCATGAAATACTTTCTCATATTAGTTCCCCAAGCGATCATACCATTGCAAAGTGCGCAGGTCCTTCCAGAATTTTTTGGCATCTTCATGGCTATCAAGACGTTGTCGCAACAACTCTCTCCATTCAGCGTCCTTGCCAATAGAATCACAGGCAATTCCAAGATACTCATACCATATGGGATAATATGCTGCAAATTCCCAGTCAATTATCCCCATCAGCTGCCCATCTTTGACCATGATATTGGAAATATTAAGGTCACCGTGGGTGAGAACATAAGGGCCGCATTCGGGGAAGCGCTGCATAAATTTATCCGTTTTATTTGAGAACGCTGGAACGATAGCTCACGACTGATGGCATCTCGAAACTCAGAGTCAGAGTGGAAAGGCCCATGGAGATTACCATCATCAAACACCATGTCTAAACGGCAGGCTCCTCCATTAATGCCTTGTATACTTGGCGATGTGATGGACTGTAGTTGCTTGCACACGTCAGCCACCTGGTCTGCGATAGTGGCCTTCTGGTCATTTGATAATGATGGCCAGGCACTCTCGAGTGTCTCACCGTCCATCCGTGTCTGCAGCGCGAAATAATTCCCGTTTTGATCGACCCAGTCATAAACAGCCTTCGGCGCTGGGATATGGGGATGAGCTGCAAGTAGCTTCAGTGCTCGGATTTCGTTCCTCAGATATTCTTCGAATTGGGGGTGCCCTTTAAAAATAAAGTCGGTGCTGATTGACCATACGCCTCCCGCGCGCGAGCCGCGGATGAATCTGATGGGGTTGAAATGCCGGCGTAGCGATTGCTCCTCCAGACTGCATCCACAGTCGTCGAAGCCAGTGTATGTATCGGACATGTTGTGAATTGATCGAGATTTTTCAGGGGTAGAAAAGGAGTGGAGAAGCCCTAGCTCAGTGTCAGACAGACTGGATACGAGACAACAAGTCCCTATTTATGTGAGATGGTCAATCAAGTCACACAGGGGATTCTAATTGATATTTTGTTTCCTGGCATCAAAGAAGCGTTGCACTGGATTTTAAGCGGAGGTTTCCTATGGATAGCTGTGACCTGGCTTTGAAATGTGGCCCGTATATTGGGTGCCAGGGGTTGTATATAAAATATGCCGTGGTTAGTATCATTGAGCAAAGTGACTTCCCCTATACAAACATGATAAACTTACTACAGTGTCGTTCCTGCATTCAGAATCACAATGTGTACCCGGATAACACACTGATATTATCTTTGTTTCCCTAGATGGAATTGTATAAATTCCATGTCATTCTCAAAGACTTCTTTAAGTTCTGAATACCTTTGTTCAACTCAACCATAGACCAACAGTGTTGTGGTGTCCTATGGAGGATGTGGTCATGAAAGCTGTCCAAAATCCATGGAACAACCCGAGAAATACAGCCAATTTCCATTTCTGCTATACATATATATTGAGATGAGTACATTCACTTTTCAGATGGCTCCGTGAATCTCCATTAAAGGTATTTAACGCTCTATATTACTTTTCATTATCAGCTGCAGTAAGTTGCCTTATATATCTATATTGTTGTGAAGGCAACTAGTACTTCCAATACAGCTACCACAACTGAATCCTGTCAAAGATAGACACGAATCTATATACAGATAGATTCACCCTACATCCCATCAGACAGCCCATCGGCCTCGTAAATCTTCAACATGTCATCGACGTTAACTAAGGAACAAGTCACCCGCAGGGAGAGCTATCTCAGACAGCGAAACAAGATTGATTCGATTGAGAAAGAAGAGCTTCTTCCGCTTCTCGAGCAGCGATGGGATATGTGCTACAAGGTCTGCGACAGATTCGAAATCGACAATCTTCTAGAACTTTACCGAGATGCATATCGACCAAATACCTCTCCACAGAAGATCTCGGAGATAATCCAGCAGATTGAACTGACCATCAAACTCTCCCTCTTACAGCGGCTCCCGGTGGGTTCTAGGGATTATTATAAGGATTTCAGCCTTGAAAGGCTATATGAGGATGTTACACGTCTGTATGGTGTCGTTAAATTTCTGGATGTGGTATGATGGGGGTTTGAAAGTTTTTGAGTACTGCATTGTTCGAGGCGTATTTTTACTCGATGCTGAAGTTAATTATATACTAGAAAGCGCTAGGTGGGTTATATGACTGATATTACGTCTACAGTGTTGTAACTAGAAAAAGCCTGTCCCCTAACTTAACGCATCCCTCTAGCTATGAATAAGACAGCCAACCACTCTGCCATGAATTTACTCTGGGCCCTTTCCCTTGATCTTCATATATGCTCTCTTCACCTCCTCCCGGCCAGCCATCCCAGCCAGCCAACGCTGAATGAGGGGGTAGGAATCCAAAGACAGCCCCGCAAAAGAATACTGCCTCACCCAAGGCTCCGAATGATAATCTACAGCGGTAATCTTTCCGGGCAGAACACTCTCTCCATTCGATTTCTTCAACTGCCCTTCCAACACCCCGAAGCAGCGATAAGCCTGCTCCGTGTATCTATTTAGCGCATCCTGGTTCTTCACCGCATGGTAGTTCCTTAGTGTTACGTTAGCACGATTCGCTCGTTAACCAACTAGGTGACAAGGAGGGCAGAAATACCTGAACCAGTTAACCTGGCCCAGCATAGGCGCCAGATTGGTGAGTAGGAAATACTCCCATTTCTCCAAGTCGACGATATCCTGCTCTGTCTTACCGACTGGACCTAACTGTCCGTCGCGGTCATACACTCGGCGGACGTAATTCATGCATGCGCCAGATTCCCAGGCCACGACGCCCGTGTTCGGGTCCTGGAGAGAGGGAAGCCGACCATTCTCGTTGATCTTCAAGTAGGCCTCGCCTTTGACGCCTTTTTGGGGGTCGTCGCCAAACTCCCACTGTTGCACTTCGTAGGGAACTTGGAGGGCTTCGAGAGCGATGGCGATCTTGATGGGGTTAGGGCCCGTAGCGTGGGCATGGAGGAGTAGTGGTTTGGTCATATTGAATAAAGCCCGTCCTAGAGTTGTCTGCATATTGGTGAATTCCTGGATAGAGGTTGTGTACCATTTATAGAATATATATTGCTTGAATGATGCTTTAATTTGTTAATCAACGTAGCCGATCTATTGCTATGGTAGGGCTTAATTATGCCCTTGGTGTTCTCCACTGTCTTGTTGCTGAAAACGTTGATGGAGCCACGACTTTGAATCCCGCGGAGTTGCAATTGGAGACATTCCGGAGCCGGAGCCGGTGATAGTACTACTTCATGGACTCGTAATTTCAACCTACAGTCGGGACCCCTGGTACTCTCAATGGCATCAGTCGGGGTAACTATATAATAATATATTATTGTTGGCAACTAGTAAAAGAAAGTCATTTTTATAGGTAAGAAATGACGCAAAGAACAAGTGCTTTATTGAATGTGTTGTGCCCAACTTGGACACTGATTCCAGTCACTTTGGCAACACCTCCCTAGCTCCATTAGTAGCTCTCTAATCTTGCTCTTCAGATTTGGAATCAATATTGCCAGAAACCATGGAGTCCATGCTGCTGTACGAATGGATACAGATCCTGGCAATCAATGAATCCAACCCCTCCCCCCTCCAACAACTCTAGATAATCTCTGTAATCTAAATGCGCATTTTTTTCATGCAAACCTGAGATGAATAATACATTCAGACGGAATCAGAGGTAGGTAGGTGTATTGCTTGCATGCAGCATAACATTTTACTCCAACCACTCAAGCTTCAACCTTCTCCAACTAACGGACCTTATCGACAGCCCTACTCCAACTCGACCTTCCTACTCCAATTACGTCGACTCATGCTCGAGGTACTTCATTTACACCGAACCTTTGAAATAGAGCTAAATTGCAGTGTTAGTCTATACTAGATTCTACAAGATCGCTTCCCAAATATGGTCATCCTCATCTAGGAGGCATACAAGCCAGCACCATTCGATATGTCCAGCACCTACATTCGTCCTCTACCCACACCTGGGGCACCAGTGTGGATCTATACAGATACCAGTACCATAATGGGGAACGGAAAGGAAGAGCCTAGTCAAATATTTTTAGATCATCGATCTCCTCGGCCACGGGCCAGAATGATGGAATAGTGCTAATATGAATTTGCAGGTGCTTTATGAATATAACGGGGGAGATTCCTGTGCTGGTAAATTCCCAGGGCGGTTTTGGTAGATTGTGTAGATGGCTCTGCTCCGCTTGCACCAGAAAGGGTGAGTAGTAATTTCATTCACTTCCTTATCTATGTAAAAGGGGGTATTCTACCTAGGCGGTTAAGCATAGATGAGCAGGTTGCTGGTATAATTCCGATTGCCACGTCGCTAAATGTAGAGTCATGCTTCTCAGTCGAGCTCGGTTGTTACACCTCTGTTATACTACCGGATGTACTGGCAGGGCTTATCTTCAAGACAGGATTTATAATAGTAGAGCGCGCAATGTTGAGGAGGTAAGCTCTTTGTTGATAGCCCGGATTCGAAGTTGCAGATAATTGAAGGAAGACCGCATTCTCTCAACTATACTCGTGCCATGCAGCGCATGAGGTACTTGTGCGGTTTCTGAGGCGATATATCGAGTGAAGCAATCCGTGTGATGATATATTAGCTAGCCCTACTAAACCCCAGTAAAATACACAGACTGTGCTTTGGTTTGGGCAGATAAACAGACGTTTCATCTATCGTCCTTTCAGAGTATCTTCATGGTTCTGAGGCACTGTGTGCGAATCTCCGAAGATAGCCTATCTTAGACGCGCCCAGGGCCCTCAGCAAATCCCTTATTCGCCTACTAGATCCCTAGCTTCTCATAGATGCTGAAGATGTCGCGCATTCACGTTTCAGGTCATCGTTACCAACAAGTTCAATAACGCCATCAGCACCCGCAGCTACTGCGAACTCCCAGAAACCCTCATAAGCTTAGGTACACTCAGAAAAAGGTAAGTCTTCCACTGATAAAGCACACACACACCGTTCCGTTCCTTAGAGCTGGAATATCCAAGAGGGACCACTCGCTTTAGAAACGGTTCCTGACCGCTACACACTCCACCGCACTAGACCCTGACAACCCACCGCATCAGGCTGAACAAATCGAAAGAAAGCTGCAGGAAATGAATTCCGCTGCACGGTAGATCCATCATTTCCTCTTGTTTGTGTCACCGGCCACTAACTCAGTCCCCTCGCCTTCTTAACGGCAGGCTATCATCGGTGATAGCTGAAACGAGGGAAGTCCTAGTTCAAAAAGTAGTCAAATAGTACCCCAGACCAATCGGCACCGGCGGGTCCAACCGGGCAATCACAACAACAGGAAGCGGCACGTGCGCGCTACCCGGCGGTGAAGCGTGGCAGAAACAGCCGCGGCGCGTGGCACTAAACCCGAAGCGGGCAAAGTGTCGGGCGACAAGCGGGGAAAGCGAGCAGCTCGTCTCGATCCAGCTTCTGTTCTGACTGTCCAGTACCAATCATAGCCCATTACATCAATCCCCCGAGCTTAAATCTTCTCTTCCCTCTTGTCTCTCTCTCCCGCCAGAATTAACTAACTAATCTAACGTTAGTTTGGCGTCTTATCACCACCACTGCAATTAGTTACTCTGAAGCCCGTGCAGAATTCTCTTCTCTCTTTGCCTCTCTCTCTCTTTTTTTTTTTTTTTCTTTTTCCTCTCTTCACCTTCCCTCTCTCTATCCTCTAACTATCATCTCCTCCTTAACTCTCTTATCTTTCTCAGACAAGAAAAGAAACCAGTCACACGACCTGCTGCAGCTCTCCAGCTTAGTGCCTACCTACCTGCACTACAACCATCCCCTCCCCTTCTCCTCCTCATTCTCCTCCCTTGCTATCCTCTCACAACCACACCACACCACACCATACCACACCACTTCACATTCACAATGTCCTCCCAACCTCTCCTCCAAACCGCCCCAGGTAATTCCACTCCCCTTCCCTTCAATTACTCCCCCATCCGAAGGGAATTAACAAAAAACCAGGAAAAAGAATCGCCCTCCCCACGCGCGTCGAACCGAAAGTCTTCTTCGCCAACGAGCGCACCTTCCTCTCATGGCTCAACTTCACCGTCATCCTAGGCGGTCTAGCCGTCGGACTCCTGAACTTCGGTGACCGCATCGGCCGCATCTCCGCCGGTCTCTTCACCGTCATCGCCATGGCCGCCATGATCTATGCACTGGTGACATTCCACTGGCGCGCGCAGAGTATTCGCAAACGCGGCCAGAGTGGCATTGATGATCGCTTCGGACCGACCATTCTCGCTATGGCGCTTTTGGCGGCCGTCGTGGTGAATTTTGTGTTGAGGATGGTGGAGTAATTCATCTCTCTCTCTCTCTTTCACTTTGGGTGTGTATTGAGTTTGGGTGTGGAGGTCGAAATGTATTGATTGAATCGGGTGTAGGCATTGATCGGTGCTGGTCGCTGGTTTTATGTATCTTGGGTATTGAGGATGGATGGTAGTGGGTACAAGTGAAGAAATTGTTGGGAATGGAAGTGGAGGAAACGGATAGTGTACTTGTTTCATGCTGTTTGTTAGTAGTATTGAGCATTCTATTTCCTACGAGTCTAGACTGTGTTGTTCATTTTGTTTTAAAAAAGTCATCAATAGTACCCATGAGTTCATTCCATTCCATCATATATACAACATTCCAAATCCTACACAAAACAAGCAACTAAACAACCGCAGAGTTGCAGTTGCTCAATTGAAATACCCCTCGTCAATAAACGTCTCATAACACCAATAATCCTTCTGCTCCCCCTGTCCAGCGACACTCGTATTCCCCGTAAACTTCGCCGTCCAATACGAACTCCCCTGCGAAAAGCTCCCCCAAGTCTCCAACCCCGCCAACACATTCCTCTTCTGCAGCGCCAACGTATTATTATACGTCGCCTGGATTGCCCATTCGCCCACAAACACGGGGAACTTGCCCGTGCCCGACTTCTCCCGCGCATCCGCAAGAATATACTCGGGCAGATTCTCCGACGAGGAATCCATATGCTCGTAGTAATAGTGATGCGTGTCGAAGACGAGGTTCGTACTCGCGGGGAAGTCACCCTCCCAGTACTGCGGGTACTTGAAACTACCCTGGAACATGACGGGGATGTTGGGGTTCACCGATTCGACCCGTTGAACCACAGCCCGGATGTACTTGAGGACCCAGGCAGCGCCGTGGTCCGTCAGGGCGAGGGGCGTGCCGAAGACGACCATGTTGGTGTTGTTGTCGGCGGGTTCGTTGATGGGCTCGAGGGTGTAGGATTGCGGGGATCCCGAGGTTTGGATGAAGTTGATGACTTGGTCGATCACTTGCATGGAGTAGTTGAAGTTGGTCTCGTTGTAGAACCAGTACCAGTGGCCGGTGGCTTCGCCGATGGTCAGGCCGTTGACGCCGCCGGGGAGGGAGTGCGTGTCGATGATGATGTGCATGTTGTAGGTCTTGATGGCGTAGTCGGCGATTTCTTTGAGGTAGGCCGTTTGGTTTCCCGAGTAGAGCTGCGAGCTGGAGAGATCGATCCATGCGGCATAGGTGGTGGGGATGCGCAGGACTGTGATACCGCCGGAAGCGAGCTTGTCAATGTCGGCCTTGGTGATCCAGGTTGCGTAGCGGTGCTCGAGGACGGGGCCGCATTGTGAGCCTAGATGTTCGCAGAGGCCCCATTCGTCTGAGGCGCCGCCAGAGTATTTATCCCAGAATAGACTGTCTATTGTGGATTCTTGCTCGAGCCAGCCGCCGAGGTTGACGCCGTTGCCTTTGAAGGTGCGCCAGTCGATGTAGGAAGAGTTTGGGGGGCTGGCTAGGGGGACTGCGAGGGCGGACTGCGCGCAGCCCAGCGCAGCGAGGAGCCCTAGGAGACTGTACATTGGGAGCGAGTTCGGAGAGCAGATGAGATGGGCGTGGACCGCTGCTATAACTTCATTCTATCGGACTAGTTCCAGCACTTCTTATATCTCGTACATTCTTGGGTTGCCGGCATATGGCCTTGGTCCCGGACCGAGACAATTGGATATCCCGACAGACATTTCTTTAGCTAGCTCAGAGTTGAAGGATGCTTAGCACTGAGCCAAAAGGCTATTCGACGGCGAGAGAGGCCAAGGTCCCAAGTCGGGCTATCCGAGGAGCTCAGCATGGCCAAGCTCATCAGTCATTTGATCAAAAGACCGAATGCAGCAATCACAACGAGCGCCGGTTAAATTAGCCATGAAGATTGTCTTCACTAGCTACACACAGTAGAGAACGGCACGCAAAAATTCCCGCATGACGAATTAGTCTCTGTGTAGTGCGGGGTGTGGGGAAATAGGCGTAGGGCATCTTTCTGCAGTCGGAGCCTGAGCAACATCCGAATAACGGCCTCTCCTCCCGCTCAGATGAGGATCAACACGCTCAAACCCATCCTCTTTATCGTGACTCGGAAATTCCATGCCTCGGGATAATGAGGCCCGATGAGATGGGTGAGATTCTCGGGTGTCCCGACGGCAGAGGCACTTGAGGCCAAGAGATTACCGTGGTTATAAACCGGGAGCACCCAACGCCTCTCAGCCGTCAGCATGGATCTCATCGAAAGCAGACATGAGGCGCACTGTCAACCACTGCCAGCCATTGCAAGCACACATCCTAGCACAGTCGACTGCTTGAGTGGTTGGCAAGCAGTGTTTGACCAGTCAGCTTCCGTTGTCGGTCATTGCGCCGCTGGTAAACGGCAACTCAGCAATGAAAATGAAGCCACGGGCCATGCTGGATGCGAGACGAGGGTTGGAATCTGTCGGCCTCAGGCATAAACCGCTGGCCAGGGTGATAAACCCCTTATTGTGGAAGTGACTCGTTCGTATTGCCCCCTCCTCTGGCAGGATTCCCTTAGGGGGGCGTCTGGGGGTGGAGACCAACGAGCAAGCGTGCCATGAAGCAGTGTTGGCGTGAACTCAATCGCAAGCTATGCTGTGGCTGGTGGAGATGATAGGCAGACGAGGACGCGAGTGGATGATGTAACGAGCCTTTGGTCAACCGCCGATCCCGGGTCTGATCTGCTGGCGCAAGAGAAGGAGAAGGAAAAGGAAGACAGAGGGTGCGAGAACGAGAGTCAGATAGTGGGAAGGGAACAATGCCCATGTGTAGTGAACCTAAAACCGGGTGGTTGAGGAACAAGATCCATGGAACTACGAGTTATTTGAGCGAATTGGCATCCTTGGACAGTGCAGAGTGGTTGGTGGTAGCCTAAATGTCTGACTGGGAGTGTCACAGGGTTTTATATGGATCTTCTATCATGGCAAGCATAGCAAGCAGATTGGGGGGGAAGGAAGAAAGAATCCATGTTATAACTGGGGCAGTTGGGGGAGTACAGTAATGTGTGTCTAGTCTACCTGGGACTGTCTCAACTTTCAGACGAGAGTACTTGAGCGGGTAGATGCAGCATTGTAACGAGACGGGGAATTTCATACCAGTACGGGTATGGGTAGGAACTGGAAAGAATCGAAACCCGGCCGGGTGGGTGTATGTACGTTATGTACGTATGGCTGTATGGCGGTATGGCTGTATGGCTGTAATGGTACTTTGTGGGCGGCAAAAGACCCCTGCGAGAAGCGGTTGTTAGCGCGGACAATACCCCGGCCATCCATGGCCCAGTCCAGGCCCGGCATCACATCATGGCTCCACTCCTTCAGGCAGTGATTCGACGTGTCATCCTCTTCCATCAATAATAGCAGCAGCTGTAGCAGCACCACCAGCAGTAGTACTACTTACTAGTACTGTAAGTTAGCAAGCATCTCGCTATGGATGGTCCTTTTGTCGCCCGGTTTATGAATGGTCCATCACTTTCCTCCCCTGTCACAAGTAGTCACTCACATTGTAATCATGATGAGAGAATAATCCCATCCCATCTCTCTTCTGACTGACTGACTGACTGACTAAACCCAGCACATCTCTTTCTTTGCTGCCTCTCCCTTGAATACTACTTCCACTCCCGTATCCCGGGTTCTTCCTTCTTCTCCCAACTTCTTTTCCCTACTTACCCTTTCCACTCAACCAAAATCCTTCGTCTTCCCAATTAACCTTTTTTCGCCTCTCAAACCGGTTTGGTCCCTGGTCGGATCCCCGTAAGTATTGAAATTCCCCTCCCATCGGGTTCCTAATTATCTCCCAATAGTCGTCTTTTTCTTAACGGTATTTTCCCCTCCAGGTTGACCTGAACAACTACTACAACCTCAACATCACCATCAACATCAACATAATTATTCATGATTATGGTTATTATTCGTGCTGCTATTACCACAACCGTTTTCTAACCCGACAACGTCCGCCCTCTTTCGTCTCCCTTGGTACTCCTCTTCTCACACCCTCCCATCCTTTCTCCCTCTCTCTTTCTCCCAACCGTACTCTCCCTCCCTCCCTCTCTCTCTCTCTCCCTCTACGACACCCTCTCTCTCTCTCGATCCCCCTCTCTTGGGCTTTGTTTTCTACTAGCTTCGGGTGCTATTCTTCTTCACTCGAACTACTACCACCATCCATACCCACTAGATAACTAGTATCTACCACTGGTTATTATTAATAGATTACGCCACCGCCCAACCTACCATTCCGTGGGAACTGGGAAGGGTTGCCTGCCCTCTCTTACTACCACCAACCATCACCACTGCTACTGTTCAACCCAGCATTGCCTAGCCGTGGATCCGCTTCAGCTGGCCTCCCCTTCCCGGCGTGCATGTGACCTGCCTGGGAAGGAGGTTCCTCTTTAGGTTCTGCTTGATAGTTTGACGCTGTGTCTTCCAGATCTCCGACCGGCCTTTATTATACTCGGCTGGTCTTTGTTCACAGCTTTTTGGTCGCTCCCTCCTGTCCTGTCCTGTTCCTTCCACCCCCAACTTAATCTGTTCAAACTTGGGTCCCAGAAAGCCCGGACTCTTATCATCGATAACTATCCTCATACCTTTTTCGACCAATCCTAGTTGCCCTTCCAACTTCCTTCCCCCCAGTCTGATCCAATAATCTTACTTCCTCGCGCAGCAGCCTTGTTGCATGCTTGCACTGTCGGAGCTCCGGCTATCCGTTTCTTGTTGGGGCTTCCCCCCCGTGTTTCCTTTCCTCCCCCTTGCTGGGTTCCCACCGGTCGCAAACGACGACGTCTGACCGATCGGCGGCAACCTTCATTCCCTCGTTGCCTGCTCTTCATTTTCCTTCATTTCAACCCCCCATCGTTCTCCCCCGGATTTAGATCGCATTTGCATGCACAGGTGCATGGGGTCTGCGTGGCAAACAAATTTGGACTGTACCGTGCCTCTTACGTGGCGCCTCTAACTTGTCGCATTCCCGTCGCATCGCGCAGATCCGACTCTCTCTCTACATTCTTCCGCGCTCAACCTCGCATGGCATGTTTCGCCTGCTTCCTTGGTCCTCTGCTATCGGGGGCAACAAGGTGATGGCCGAGGAGCTTAAAATGCTCTCGACCTCGCCGCACTGCGCCGCGTCGGGCGTCGGTGGCCTGCCATTACCGCAGTTGAAGCGCAAACGCTCTGATTCTAGCGATTCCGCCTCCGCTCGAGATGCCCCGGTCGCAACCAAGCTGCGCGCCGACGATGCGCCCTCAAAACCCGTCAGCTTTCAGCAAGACCCTTCGCTACCTGCTACCAGCGCCGTGACGGTGTCGCACCCAGCTGGGACGGACGGTCGCGCCCAGCCGATCTCGGAGTTGTCGCATTCGTCGCATTCTGGTCAAAGCGCGACTACAAATACCTCGGAGATAACGAAGCAGAACGGCACTTCCCCAAAGATCGACGCGGACTCGCTGCGCGAGACCCTTGAAGCGCAGCTGAGTCTGGAGGTGTTGTTGAAGCACAATGAGCTGAGGCTGATTGATCAAGAGATTGCCAAGTGCCAGGTTGCACTGGAGCAACTCCGTCGATGTGCCGAAATACCGTATCCGGGATCCAGTGTGGCAGGCTATTCGCAGTCGGTCAGCAATGGTACGGGTGCTGCGGTCTGGGCTCCTGAAAATGGGCCTGCGCCGCAGTCGCCCGCGCCATGGGGTGTCGTGGAGGGTCCTTACTCTCGCCACTACTCTAGATGGCTACTACCTGATCCTCGATTCGACGGTGGCGAAGTTGAACCCGAGACTCCTCTAAGTGGGCTGCCTCTGATGGAAGGCCGCACGACGCGGGGGAGTTCGGGCGATTTGGGCTCGCTGGCTGGCAAGACACGACCTCAGCGTGGCTCGGCAAGTGCTAAGCTCCAGGCTCTGCCTAACGGTTACCCAGCGCCTAAAGACAAGGCGGGTCCCATGCTTATTCGACGAAAGTCGGATAATGTACTCGTCAAGCTGGTATGTCTGGACTGCGGTCGGGACAATTTCTCCAGCACTCAAGGATTCATCAACCATTGTCGCATTGCACATAGTCGGAATTACACCAGCCATGATGCAGCGGCAATGGAGTCTGGCAAGCCCGTTGAAGTCGACGAGGCTGGTGCCGTTGTTGGCGGCCGGGTGGAGAGCGTCAGTGCAGCAGGCACAGGCGGGTTCGTCCACCCGCTGATCCGGACTGCACATGGCATTGAGCCGTCATCCAAGACACCGTCCTCTGCGTCTGAAGCGGCGGGCGATAACGCAACTCCCCGGAAGCGATCCTGCCCGAGCCGACGGGCATCGACCGGGGTGGAAACTCCTCGTGCGGCTGCCCGTCCCCAGTTGGAAAATCGCCGCGGCACACCTGTTGCCGCTGCCGCTGCCGCTTCAAGTCATACTTCGTTCCTGGGCTCGCCCGCCACCCCTCACCTGTCGTCTCTCATGCAGTCCCGGGGCGTGGGGCTCGACCTTGATCGGTTGGTCGGGGAGGCAAAGACGACGGTGGATCTTGACGAGTACTCTTCGGACGAGGGCGAGTCAGACAGCGAGTCTGTAGCACCACCGGAAGCGATGAGTCACGAGCAGAAGGCGGCTGCAGTCCGTGCGGGCAGGCAACCCATGCGGACCACGGCCTCGCAGACTGCGCCCCAGCGCCCGGGCAGCCGCAAGGGGCTCGATAAAACGAGTCACAAACCTTTTTCCCTTGAGTCATTAACCCCGACCAAACCTGTTCCCTACCAATCCCCCTATGGAGCGGTGTCCCGGCTGCCGCAGCTGGACGGGCTGCGAGAGATGGACGGGACGGAGCCTTCGTCCAACCTCAGCCCAAACACAATCGAATCAAACCAGGCGCCGAGTCTCGTCAGCGATGACGACGATTATGAAGCGGCTTCGGATTCGGAGAGTCCTGGGCCTAGCTCGTCAGAGGCGGGCGATGCGGAGGAGGATTTCGGTCATATTGGAGTGGAGGACGACGAGGACAGTACGACGTCCACGACGGCGCCGGAGGCCAAGTCGGACATGGGCATGTTCCGGCGCCGGAATAAGAAGAAGAAAGAAGGGGTCATGTCGGCCTCACTGGGACCATTGAGTCGCAGCCGGGATGAGAAGCGAGTGAGCTTTGCGAGCCCGGATGCGAGCCCTGCTAAGGGCAAGAAGGATAGTCCGCGCCGGCCTAGCGGACGATAAACGATAGAACTGCACGTGTTTAATGTATGAGGATACTCTCCTTTCTTTTCAATGTATGGAATTTAGGTACTTGATAAATTGCGGTCAGGAATTTTGCGAGCGGCCGGGGTTTAAGGATGATTTTAGTTAGCGATGGCGGATTACGATGATGATTAGTAGACGCCTGTATTAAATTCTTGATTATAATTATAGCCTATTTTGTAGGGAACACTGGAAACTGAGATAGCAAGTAGAAAGAAGTATGGAAGAACCCTACCGCTCGGAATCGGCCAGACCCTCCCGCAGCTCCTCTTCCATTTTGAGTTATCCCAAACAATCAATCACAACCATTCATTCATCCATCATCCATCTATCCATCTTATCTCCCAACCAACCACCAAATAAACTCTACAATGGACCTCCACCTCCAATCCATATCCCCCCAAACCTTCCAGCATTTGCTAGAAGCCTACCCCCAAACAGTGAAATCTCTCGCCCGCCGCAAAGCCAGCGCCAGGATCAAGCGCAAACCAGCAGCGGCAGCAGCCCCAAAATCGAAGCAGAAATCATCCTGGACATCTACAGGCGCGCTATCAGCAGCACAAGAAGGGTATATCCGCACTGAAGCGGATGAGTTCTTGTCGCTTGATGGGTTCCGGTATGAGGGGTTACCGGGGGTAGTGGCTGCGAGGGCGAAGGGGAAGAAGGATGATGGGTATGAATGTGGGTATTTGGAGAAGGAGGAGTTGGTGAGGTTGGTGGAATGGAAGATGTATGTATATTCATTTCCCCTTCTCTTTGTAGTTATTGTACTTTATGGGATATGATGTACTGATTGGGAATAGGAAACATGGTACTTTTCGCCCCGCATTACTGGGCTTGATACGTTCGAATTCGGAGGCTGTAGTCAAAAGTGCTACGGGGGAGGCGTTTAGAGCACTTAATAAGGAAGGTGATGAGTTTCCAAAGGAAGCATTAGATATTCTCACGAAGGCGTTACGAGGCGTGGGAGTGGCTACGGCTTCTTTGGTGTTGTCGCTTGCTTCGACTGCTGATGTACCGTTCTATAGCGATGATGTGTATTTGTGGGTTTGTATGGAGGAGGTTCCTACTTCTGCTGACACTGGTTCTGGAGAGGCTGAGGCTGAGGCTGAGGCAGAAGCAGCAGATAGACTCAAAAGAGGGGTTTATAAACGGTTGAATGGCGAGTTGAATGTCAAGTATACGATGGGGGAGTATCGGGGGTTATGGGAGGGGGTGAAGAAGTTGAGGGAGAGATTGGGTCATCAGTCAGAAGGAACAGTGAAAGGAGTGTCTGGGTTGGAGGTGGAAAAGGTGGCGTTGGTGGTGAGGCATTATACTTTGTTGGGAGGTGGTCATAGTGATGATGTTGATAAGAAGGTATCAGAGGGAAAGAAGGTGGAGGAAGAGGAAGGAGAGGAAACGAAAAGGGAAAAGAGAAAATTGGAGGATGAACAGCCAACCGAAGGCAGACGGAGAAGCAAGAGATTGGACAGTCGCAGGATCAATCCTGCTTGATTAACGGAGTATCATTGAATGAGGTTGAAATGATGGTGGTGATAGTGGGAGATTAGGATCCAGTCGCCATCAGCTGCTCCATTGACGTGCATGAGATACGTCGTCTAGTTCGGGCTCGGCACAAATCGCCATTTTGGGTCATTTATGCCAAAACTAGATGAGCTAGGGAATCTATATTTACTTCTTGGTAGATGAAATCATTTAAGCAAGAATTGATGAACCAAATTGCATAGCACTATGTTTATGACCTACTTTGTAGTGGCCCCCGCAAATATGTGAACTTGAAGCGGGTCTAAGCTCCTTACTGTATAAATACGAATACGTGCTTAGCATCATGCCAAAGGTTCCCCCGACAATTGATGAATCCACAGAACGACCCACAACCAGGATTTTGGCCGCGGAGGAACGAAGTCCCCTAGAACAAGGGGAGATGTAGATACATACCAGACTTCAACGGGCCAAGGAAGCTGCAGAAGGACTACATTATACCCATGGTGAAGATGTCATGCATGCAGATGACTGCCATGATTTGGTCTTGGATTGATCTGGTCATATTGAATTCATTCATTACTTTCGGTGTAGCTACCGGTCGGGGCCTTCTGAGCCTGATATTAACAACAGAAGATGTCTCTGCATTTACATCACTTTGTTAGAAATCAAGTCAGGGGATATCTAGTAGCAATGACCCTGAGATGGAGAGAGAGTGCGTTGATCTATGATCACGTGAGTAGGATCAGCCAAGACGCATTCAGCAGTTCAGTATTCAGGGGTTTAGATTTAAACTGGATTCATTCTCGGCACTGAAACATCCCCATTAATTGCTTCAACTATACGATCATTCTTGGCATCATATGCATTCCGTTTTCGGTTGGCATTTTGAAACTCCCTCTCCCTTCTGTCTCCCCGATGGCAAACCGGTCCTTGGATGCAGCAACAGGTGGGAAGCAAAGAGATTGCGCGGTTTCCAGATTAATGCTGCCTGATAACTGGTATATTATTATCCATGATCCATTTCGCCATCTGCGACTCCAGTGGCGTGCATAGCATACGTATCCTACTGTCACCTGTCCCAGTTGGGGCACACACACCTCTACTCCATACTATCTCTGAGGATCGCTGCATTCGCAACGCCATCCGTTTTCAGAACTTGACATTCATTCAACTCACTTTCTATCTATTCCGTGCTTCTCATTATGACCGACGCGATAAGGTTCTCCGACTCCGAATCCTTGGATGCTCCTCATCGCATCCCACTATAATTGGCTTTTTCCACTGTCCGTCCGCGTGGTTCTCCACTACTAGCGCTGCCACCAGTGGATCCGCCTTCACCAATTTATCCTGAAATGCCAACATGCCTACGAATCTGTCATCCGACTCCAGTCTAGCGCTGCATCCACACGAACGTCTGGGGCCCGGCTAACTTCTCTCCCGTCGCTCGTTGGGTGGCTTCGGTCCATGATTTGCGACTATCCGCGTCATGCTCTGTCCCACCTCCTAACTGCCCGCCCACTCGCTCTCTCCGTTTGCAGCGTATGGCTTTTTCTCCGTCACCATGCACGACTTTCTCTTCCTCTGGCAGGCTAGTCTTCCTCCATCGACTACTACCTGCCCTGTCGTGCTTCTCAATTTGCCGTAGATGGCCGTGCTGCTGGTTCTCTGGGCCCTGTGGCCCATACTGGCATCGGCCTTCTCATGGCATGGCCTCTGGTATGACCTGGGCTTTCTGGGACCTCATCCCACGCTGAAATATGAGTCCTTTGACCAGGAGTCTCCCGAGGTCAATGTCCTGCGCTGGGACCCGCGATGTGAAGAGGGCTACGTCTTTCTCAGCCCTCGCGGTCATTCATACCCAGACCCGGGGCCGTTGGTCTACGACAACCAGGGCAATCTGGTGTGGATCGAACGGGAATTCGGCCAGATCATGGACCTCAAGGTCCAACACTACATGGGGGAGGATTATCTGACATTCTGGGCGGGAGATGACGATGGCACGCGCGGACTCGGCCAATACTACATGGTGGGTAGCTATCTGCATGACTGGCATCGATCGAAGCTTATCCGTGACAGCTAAATTCCTCCTACGACGTCGTTTACATCGTATCCCCCGCCAATGGCCTCACCGGCGACGTGCACGAATTCAAAATCACCGACCAGGGCACCGCGCTCATGACCATCTATGACATCTGCGAGGCGGACCTTAGCTCCGTGGACGGACCCGAAGACGGCTGGATCTACGACGGACTCTTCCAAGAGATAGACATTGCGACGGGCGAGCTGCTATTCGAATGGCGAGCGAGCGATTACTACGACATCGACGAATCCTACTACCCCCTCGGCGAAAAGGGCTCCGCCCCAACAGCCCATGACGCCTACGACTTCTTCCACATCAACAGCATCGACAAACACCCCAATGGAAATTACCTTGTGTCGTCCCGCTACATGCACACCGTCACCTGCATCAGCCCCTGGGGCGAGATCCTCTGGGTGCTGGGCGGGAAACGCAACACCTTCAAGGACATATCCCCGGACAAGTCCGCCACCGGCATCACTTGGCAGCATGACGCACGCTGGCAGTCCGACACGATCATCACGCTGCTTGACAACGGAGCGCACGAGCATTTAAGTACTAGAGACCACACACGGGGGTTCATGATCGAATTAAACTTCGACGACTGGACAGCCAATACACTGCATGTCTACGACAGTCCCGGCTCCTTTAGCAGCCACTCCCAGGGCAGCCTGCAGGTGCTTCCCCGGACGGGCCATGTCTTCATCGGCTGGGGCAAGCCGTCGGCGTACACCGAGTTCACTGTGGACGGCGAAGTGCTGTGCGACTTTCACTGGGGGCCGCGCGTCTTCTTCTGGCTTGGATGGATCAAGTCGTACCGCGCGCAAAAGTTCCACTGGGTGGGCAGGCCGCGAGTGCCACCGGATGTGGCGGTCGACGAGGCGGGTGACACGGCATATGTGAGCTGGAACGGGGCGACGGATATTGCAGGATGGGTGCTGCAGCGGGCGAGTAACTCCAGCGCGGGAGAGGATGAGTTTGAGAGTGTTGCGTATACGCCGAAAGAGGGATTCGAGACGCAGGTGGATTTGATAGGGGAGGGATATTTCCGCTTGATGGCGGTGGATCTGGAGGGGAATGAGATGGGAGTGACGAGGGTGTTTGAGGGATGCGTAAGTTACCACTACCCTGGTGACATAAGTACAGTACAGGATGATGCTAACGTGATATGAACAGCAGATAACTGATATCGACGACGACGGCTCAAGCTCATTCTTTGTATTCTCCGAACGAGCATTCCAATGGATGCTCGTAGGGACATTTACAGCAGGAGCAGTGGTAGTAGGAGCATGGAGGGCGAGGAAACGCATACAGTCGATTTTTGTGAGATATTTTCGTTATTGATTGAATACTAGATACCCATATAGCAATACACATATTCTTTCTATCTTTGAATACATAACCCTAATATACTACTTTATATCACACACATACTACCACAACATATTAACTCCTCCACCACCTTCCTTCCCCATTAGTATATAATTCTAACATACATCACACTCCCCATTAAACCCAACCCAACTACTAGTACTCACTACTTAGTATCACCACCTCCCCACCCACCCCATATTATACTACCAAGTAGTAAGTAGACATACACTCTAAAACAAAGCAACAACCAACCCCGCCAACCCCATCCCCATCCCCATCCCCACCTCAGAAACCAATCCTCCCACAGCAACAACACCCCCCGAAGAAGAAGAAGTACTAGCCGCCGCCGCCGCCGCCGTCCTACTACTCGTCGCCGACGCGGTACTCTGAACCGAGCTGGACGAGCTCACCCTCGTAGAAGTCGAATACAGCGAGTTGGCCTCCGCCGCATTACAATACTCCATTTTCTGTTGGTCTGCGGAGGTGTGGTTCGGGTCGGAGGGGCAGTCGTTATAGCATCTTCATACAAGGATACATTAGTATCACAGGTATATATAGAAGAAAGAGAAAGGGTAGGTTTAGGGTTCATACGTAAGCATATTCTTGCTCTGCGTACACAGACACGACCAGTCATTCTGTGAACATTTGTCCATTTGGGGTTTCATTTGGGAGAGGCAGGCGTCGAGGATACTGTCATTGTTTCATTAGTATATATATGGGGGTGGGGGTTTATTTGCGGGAGAGGGGGGCATAGGCATACTTCTTCGCGCATTGCTGGTATGCGCTGGAGCTATCGCTGTCGCTGTCGCTGCTGCTACTGCTGCTGGTGGAAGTCGGGGCTGGGGGTTGTGCGCCTGTCCCTGCTGCTGCTACTGCTGCTGCTGCGCCTGTTTCTGCGGCGGGCGTGGCGGCGGAGAGGTAGGCTAGGGTGAGGGTTAGGAGGTAGAAGATGTTGAGTTGCATTTTTGTTTTCTTTCTCTCTTTTTCTCTGATTCAAAACTCTTGTTGGTAGTTGGTAGAATGTAACTGGTAGGATAGAAGGGTATATAGTAGTATAGTATATATGGAGCGAAAGAGTGATTAAAGAATACTACTCTGTGTCGTGGAGATGGTATCAGTCTTATATCTTCCATCTACATAGTAATATGGACATAAGTACTACAGTAAGTAGATACTAAAGCAGGTGGTAGGTATTGACCCGCCCATTATTGGTGGCGTATGATATATCACATACGACTCTCTTTCCAGGTACATGACTTGGGAGTTTTCCAGACCTCCAGACCGGTTCTCTTGACCAAATTGGTTCCGCATCGAGTGTTGAGAATGGGAAGAATACTGTGCTTCTTGGCTGCCTACCAACCTAAATATCGGTGAACATCTGAACATCTGAACATCTAAACATCCGAACATGGTGAATAGTATTCGACATTCTACTCCATACACCTCGCCCAATGGCTGCGGGCGCCGCAATAATACACTATATACAGTTCACTAAGCCCACTGCCGCCCTGCCTGCTAACCGAACAATATATCGACGAAAAGAGATAGTCCACCCTCGGATCGTCTCCTCGCAGGCATAGTCCGTAACGTTGTTCGGACACCATGTCTTGCCTTGCGTCGATGATAGAGGTCATATGCAATATCACCCATCACCTGTCTACTCTTGTCCAAAACCTAATGTCTCCTCCACAGCAATGGACAGCTTGTGCTCCAAAACGTCGTGCGTCTTGTACGGCGGCAGATCCAGTCGGTTGAAACTAATTAATCAGTATTAGTATGACGCTGTATTCATGGGGATGTGTCGAGACTTACCAGGTGTGCGACTTGGGCAGCGCGATCGGATCGCCCGACTTCTCAATGGTGAACCGTCTCGGTCCGTCCGAGCCCTGCAGATCCTTGAATCCATTGACCGGAATACGAGACGTTCCCGTGGTGAACTGCAGCAGACGCGACTTCTGCTCCGCATCCCAGGTGCGCACGATCTTCCAGAAGTTCTGGATCACCTCGTCCTGTTCCTGGTATCCGCGGTAATCCGTGTGCTTCTTCCAGTCATCCACATCAATGTCCGCAATACCGCCGATCAGCAGCTCCAGCTCGCGCTCGTCGAACACGTTGACCAGATCCGCCGGAATCAGCTCGTTGAAACCCGACATGAATGCGTTGAACTGCTCCTCCACCCGCTTCACAATCTTCCACTCCGTGACCAATCTATTACCGTTAGCTTTGCCAACAACTGTAGCAGACAATACTCACTCTACATATTCGCCCTTGTTCTCGTTGGTAACGGGAATGTCCCGGCCGCCGGGCTTCAGATCGATCGTAGTGCGCTCACCGAACTTTTCGTCGTCAACCGAAAAGGTCAGCTCGATGATGCCCTCAATGTCGTTCTCCCTGCGCAGCGTTAGAATTGATCCATGTTATCGTTGGGGACAAACATACAAAGTCCACGCCAAATTGCGGTGCAGATCTTCATCCACACCCTCCATGTCCTGTAGCGACACCTTCTTCCGGAGCATCATCTTGTAGAACGCTCCGATGAAGAACGAATCGAGGAAGCGCCGGTGGAAGATAGCCAGCCCGACCACGCGTCCAATGAACTTGAAGTAGTTCAAGTGCTCGGGGTTCACACCCGAGTGAGGATTAATTTGCAGGGTATAATTATCGTGTGCAGAATACTCGAAAAGACAATAGAACGGGTTAAACATTTCGTGCGAGAGGAGGAAGAAAAATTCACTATTCAGTCAGTATTTCAGCCATTCTCACAGCTAGAAGGAAGGGGACAAAAGCCTACCGGGAAAGACCACCGTAATCGAGACCGTCTTCACCATCAAACTTGATCATCAAACGCTTCTTCAGATCCGAAGCGCTCTGCCGCATGATCTCGGCGTACGAATCCTCAAAGATGTTGTTACGCCGCACCTTCACGTGGCACTGGCCGGACATGATGCGCAGCGCGGGCTGCGACCGGAAGTAAATCAGCTTGCGGCGGAAGTCACGCTTGTACTGCGGCACACCCTGATCCAACGACGACGGCAGCCGGGGGTCATCCCACGTGGTGGTCTTGGTGTTGTGATCCACAAAGTACACGCGGGCCGTATTCGTCAACCGCATTTCCCATCCACTGGGCAGAGGGCCCAGCTGAGACACTGGCTGCTGCTGGATCGTCGTGTTGCCCCCGTTGGCATTGTGTCCGTACATGCGGATGTACTGCTGTCGCCGAGGATCAACCCACGTAGTTGTCCGGGTGTTGTGGTCGACAAAGTAGGGCCGTCCCTCGGGTGTCGTCCGCTGCTCCCATCCGGGTGGGAGCTCACCAGTGCCTGCAGTGGTAGCTCCCGTGGCCATCATGGACACAGCACTGGCGCTGCCACCGGCCGGCGGGGTATGGGCCTGCTGCGGTTGCGGTTGCGGGCTCTCCTGCAGATTTGGCGAATTGGCCCCTGTCCGGTCTTCCGGCAGCATCCGGCTCTGGTGAGCGCGGCGCTCCAGTTGCATGTTGGCCTCGCGCTGTGTGCGTTGCGTTTGCTCATTATAGTTCGATGACGGCCGGGTCCAGGTGGTAGTCCGCGTGTTGTGATCCACATAATAGGTACGTCCCAAGTTATCCTCCCGTCGCTCCCAGCCAGCTGGCAGCCGACCCTGGCTGTCCTCGAAGGAACTGAGATTGGTGCGAGAACCTTGAGGGCCGTTTGGAGGGGGAGCGGGGCCGCCATTGACGGGGCCTACCGTGCTGGTCGGTCGGGTGGTTGAGGGGACTCGTTGAGGATGGAGCGACACGTTCGACGCGGCGGCGGACGGCTCGGCCTGACCTGGGCTGACGGAAGGATGCGAAGCAGACGAAACCTGGGGAACGAGCCCACTGGAGGTCGACGACTGAGCATGTGAACGATGCAGGCCATTGGCCTGGTTCGGGATCGGGGCGCTGAGGTTGGTGGACAGGTTGATAATAAGCTTTCCGTGCACCACAAGATTATCGTTGGACTTCTTCAAATCCCGGGTGAGCATTTCTACAAGGCGCGAGACCGCTGTCAGTATCAACGACCGGGAGATGGGGCGGACCATCAAGCAGGTCACTCACCATCGCCACCCATTTGTAGATCTATAACATCGCCAATCCGCACATTAATCACCCCGAGGAAACCTTGGTCCTTCTTCTTGAACTTCTTCTGGTCAAAGATCTGGATTGCGAGGATACTGTCTTCATTGACTCGGCTGATGGGACCGGTGATTAGTGTCGGCCCACGAAGACAGACAATCCAGCGGGTCCTTACAGGTCAAACATCTCATTCCAGTAGGGGTTCAGCGTCTTCTTGATCACTGACGTCGTGTGGGTTTGTTCACCCCCGACGGTGGCCACAGCGAAGGGATCGGGAAAGCCTATCGACAACGCAGATAGTCAGCTGGTAGTTATCCATAAATTCAAGTGCGGGGACGTACGGAAAACATCGCGCTTGTATAACCCATCCGCTGCGATAACTATTGAACAAATCAGTCAGTCTCGAATCGTCCCAACCATATCCCATCGAGACCCTTGAGGATCCGCCGCCGAATCAAGCTTACTTGTGACCCGAAGATTTGGTTGCCTGCAAGTCATCGATGGTTAGCATCCTGCCAGTAGCACCACGCACGCACACAGAAACGACTCTGATGTTCAAGACATCACGCAAGGGGAGAATCCGAGGTATGCACATACGCTGGCAGGTTGGAACCCATCCTGGAGGAAGGGAACAGGCAGACAAGTGACGCGCCTCTAAGTGCAGCAAACGGCCGATCCGGATAAGCCTCAAAAGGTAAATCGCGGCGTGCGCATCCACCGCCGTCGACAGGCACGGACACCGAACAGCAGCGGGAGGAAAGTGGCGTCAGGCGAAAGTCGTGGGGGGAGGAGAGGAGGGGGGGTTGAAGGGAAAAGCGAACGGTGGAGGGTGGAGAGCGAGGGGAGAGGAGAGAGGTGGGCACGGGGGAAGAGAGAGAGAAGGACAATAAAAGTTGAGAGTGACGATAACCAACGGGCCGAGTAAAGGCGTTTAGATGGAGGAGGCGCGGGCAGTAAGTCGTAGTTTAGTGTCTTCCAGTCAGTCAGTCAGTCTGCCAGTTTGGGGCTGAGCAGGGCAGTCCTGACGTTGCGCTTTGGGAGCCAATCACGGGGCCGCGAGGGGTTCGACCGGGAGGTGCAGCCACCAAGCAAGTAAGTTACTTAAGTAAGTCACTTCACTAACCTAACTCACTCAAGTTAAGTCAAGTAGTACTTCTTAGTCAAGCAGGCCAGGCAGAGAGAAAGTCGTGGGACTTTGACCCGGGGCACAGGGAGGGGAGCCAGAGAGGTTGGCGCGGGCAAAGGCGGATCTTCTTCCTCTAGAACGGGTTCCCGGTTGTGTGCTAGTCAAGTTAGTTGGGAACGAAGCCCGTCTGGAAGAGTCCACGAAATGCTCCAGCAACAATCAGAGGGAAGAACTGTGGGTTTTGTTCTGGTGCTTGTTCCGATGGTCGTGGCGAGAAAGGGAAAGGAGGGGGAGGGAAAGAGAAGGAGAGCGACTAACTAGTAGTAACTAATTAACTAACTAACTAGAGACGTCAAAGCAGCTAAGCACAACTTGTCTAGTCTCTGTATGTACTAGAGGCAAGTAGTAAGTAGTAGTGATGATAGTAGGAAGTAGCACGACTCTCTTCTCTTTCTTCACCGGCAGCAAGATGTAAATTGATCTCTACTGGTATAAACCGTGAAGAGTGCTTGTTCTTTGCTTCAATCTGATATTTAACCCGTAATCTAGTAATTGTGCTACCGTCACTACAGAGTCCAGACTTAGTCTAGATATTGATGATTTCCCTCCGATCGCTTTTGGGCTGCCCGGAATTCCGCCCAAAAAACGCAGCCCCGCGTCACTTTTCAATACTGATACTCTGAATGGAAAATAGTTAAGTAGATGCCTACTTTGCATTTTCACAACTCTGCACATACTGTA